CCACGTGGAGTACCCCCTCCGTCAGTCGGCAGTCCAGGGCACTGTGTGTCCGAGTGGATCGCAACGCGATTTTGCGAATCCCACTCCACCACACTGCAACCTCTGGCAACGGTTCCAAATGGACACCAGATGTAAACCGGTCTCGCCATCGAGAATTTGGCAACACCCTTCCACCGACGGAGTACTGTGGTTTTTCCGGGAACGAATGATACGACGTCGAAACATTACAGTAAACCAAGTAGAATTTCCGGCGCTACTCGTTCTTGCTGAATTCCAAACAACCGACAAAGGTATGTACTTTAAGGAGTTTACCTATATTTTCTAATTAAGAGCACAAACAGAATAGCATTCAGTTGATGTGCTGTAAAAGCACAGGTTTGCGGAGTGCACTACCCGTGGAAGTTTATCCTTACTGTAAAAGTCATTGTCAATACTTGACAGGAACCATTTACAAGTTGTTGCTAGGACTGTAGCAATACAAACGTATACTAGCATGAAAAACCAGAGCTTTCCCGTGTAAAACACGGCGTTTGTCTGAAATCGGAGAGTTGTAGAATGTAGACGATACCGCAGTTTACTTGCAGTCTTCCAGATCCATCCGGCAGCAGAGTTCATGTAGGAATGATCTTGTCCACTTGTGGCCGTTTCCACGTGACCTGACAAAGTTACTCAGAGTAGCTGTTCGCTGGGCCAACGGACGAAGCAATCCACGGAATGCAGTCTGCACAGCATTTTCCTGATCATTCGCCAGCATCGTCTCACCATTGTAGACATGACACGCAACCATCGACAGCAGAGACAGATCTTGATCAAAACTCGCGCCAAGTGCCAGCTGGACGTCGTGAAACTTCGTTAATACTTCGCCATGATCGAGGGTTTCACAAGCAAACGCAAAGTTCATGAACGTAAAACTCCATACGGTCGAACCCCCACGAGTAGACCAGAGCAGCTCCAGAATATGATCAGCTTCACACTCCGATACCAGCAATACGTCGCCATTCTTGAACACCAATACAACATCAATCACTCGCAAGAACTCGTTCAAGCATCCCCCATCATTCCGCGTCTTGATTGTCGTGAAGAAATTAGTTGTTCCAAAGATATGCGTACTGCTCCATTCCAGATCTCCCATTTCTTTTGGAGAGATCGATCGACGTATGAAATGAGTGATCTCGAGTACTTGAATAACTCCCTGGAGGTCTTCAACTGACTGCGCTTGTAGAATTCTATCATATGCCCACCGCTTCTCTCTCATCGGAGAACACTTCACAACTTCGAGTTCACGTTCCTGTTGCACCTCTTCTTCGACTTGCAGTTCTCGCTCGCATTCGTCGGTATGGGAAGTAACGCAGACTTCATCGTCAAGTCCGTATACAAACCCTTGGCTGCAGATCTGGGTCACCAAGTCATCAACCGAGTCTTTGAAAGCCGTGAGAGCCTTCGATTGAATCACTTTGGCGATTTTGCCAACATGAAGTTTCTCCCGATACAGCGTCTCGAGTTCCCAGTCCTCATCGACCAATTCTTTGTCTCGATTGAGCTGAGTCTTCCGGAAGTGGATGCCATTGCCTGCCCACTCGAGTAGTCCACGCATAGCCTCCGTTTTCGTGTTATCCATGACCCAGTTCAGCACATCAATGGCAGAAATACTTGAGATATCATGTTGGCCACTGATTTGGAGAATACTCTGTGCAACTTCGTCAAAACTTGCGATCCAGAGGCTTTGATTGCAACCGAGCTGCCGCATACGACCGGCTCCTTGCATCAACGTATCCTTTGTAAGTTTCGGTCCCAAAGTCAGTACAGCTGCAGCATCTGCGAGCAACTTCATATCTGAGCCTCGTGAACGCGCCTCGTCAAAGATGACGAACGTCTCCTTCTCCAGCATTGACGACTTCTTCAGGGGCACCTCGATACGTCGAGCCTTCTCTGCGATAACCCAGCAGTTGATCTCCTCTCGACTATCGTAGTATGTCACACCAGCAAACGCAAACTCATCCTGTTCAAGAAGAAACTTTGCTGCGTCGTGGTTTGCCACGCCGGCAAGTAGGGCGCCAGTGTCAATAAAAGCTTGGGCCTTCTTGTCCATTGCGAATAAAAGGACACTCTGCCACGGGATCAATGTACGCTCCGGGCTGGGACGAATTACCTCGTAGCTGTGAGTCACTTGCAGGATCTTGTCGATCATTTTGCCATTCGTGGCCAACAGCGAAGGCTCACCCGGCTCCCGTTGTGTCACTGAGAGCGGTAGAAGGCGGTGGTTATCGTTAGTACCAGAAAATCCGATATTGTTTGCTCCAGCTGCGAGATTCCACGCCGTTCTTGACAACCTTTGAGGATACTGCTGCGTATCATTTGGAAATACACACGTGTTCAGGTAGAAATTGATCGCTTCCATGCAGAACCTGTAGACGTTGCAGAGCGTCTCAAACTGTCGATCATCGGCAAGACTGATGTGACGTACATCGCACAATGCCTTGCGATCTTCAGCGTTTAAACCCATCTTGACGCTTCTGAACCATTGATCGTATTGCTGCTGCTACTCCGAGATATCCAACCGCAACAGCATCTGAAATGTACTTCGAACTTCCTCGTTTGTCAGACCCCTGTGATAATATCCAAGTAGCGTTAGCACGATGCAGACGTCAGGGTGGCTAAACTCTGATCGCTCTGAAGGAACATCCGCTGCACGGAACGGAATGGCAATTTTCTTCGGTCGTGAACCACGAATTGGGAGTCCGAAATTGACTCGATGGCGCTTCTCCAGACAGTGCTCAAGCACTCCAAACGCGACGAGCCCCCTCAACGCGAGCAACTGAGTCGTATAAGGTGTGAGCTTCGATATGTGGCCATCAAGAGCTGCTTCTAAACTCACAGTGGAATCCGTAATTGCCCTCACAAGCGGTTCTCGAGCAGCAGTAGATCCAAAAGTATTGAGCCACATCAATTCAAACGGAGCGTTGTCCATGAGATCCAGCACTAGAGCCTCCTTCAAATCGTAACGTAGGGACTTCGTACTCTCGACTACAGTGTTTAACCGAGTTCCATCGTACGCACCAAGGCGTCCTGAGTAGTCTGGCGAAACACAAGACACGTGCGCAGCCTGAAGCACCTTAGCGACTCGAGAGCCAAAATATTTATCCGCCACAACTCGTAAAAGCGCTTCAGCAGCCTTCCACCGTTCAACCCCACTACAAAGCGCAATAGGCGTGCCCACTGCATACACCAAGTGATATTTGTGGTGAAGTAGAGCGTCGCACTCGTCCAGAATGTCCACAAACTGATCACCATCAAGGATCTCGCCCAGCGTCTCGGCAATGCGACCTTCACTGCCCAACTCTAAACGCTTCAGCTCCAGTGACATGCGATGCTCAGGAGCCATCATCTGAATGCCACCGAAAAGTTTCAACTCTTCCAGATTATCACGAATGACCTCAAGTCTACGATCATCCAAGTCAATCTGGCGGTGAAATGGCTGCTCGAACACTCCCAAGCGAGCGCTGGATGCCGACAAGTAACGGTGCATGAATTGTCGAGCCTCACTCAATAAAGGACTCAAGAAGTGCGCACGAACAACTCGAGGACACCGACTTTGCGTGAAATGCAGGAACAGCATCGGTAAAATCACGCGAGTCTTGCCTCGGCCCATGTTAAGCTGGCAAACAGTTCCCGGACCATTGATGAGATGTTGTGCAATGATAAACTGCTCGTGGCGGATCTGTAGTCTTCCTTCCACTTCGAACGCCAACCAATACGGGTATTCCGTCGACTGCCACTGACGGGCGTTCATGAGTTCATCTATCAACTGAGCGTCCGACAACTCATCGCTGCGCTTCGCTATCCAGAGAAGCCTCCCCAGTTTGTCTTCCAGAACGCACAACTCCATGTACTGGAGAATCCCTTTCTTGAATTGCCCTCTGGATTTCTCACTCAGTTTCGGGGCCAGAGTACGCAGCGTTTCTTCATCAAACGCACACCGAACAACATCAGTCACTGTAAGCAGCGGCAGATAATTAGCTAAGGCCAAGAGCTGGTCCTGTGTGCTGCTTGTGGCCTTGGAGAAAGTATTCGTCAAGTGAATTTCCATCGCACCACGCTGAGAAGATACCTCCCTCAGTAGAGACGTAAATGATCCGAGCAGCTCGCTTGGTGCAGTCTTCAACCTCGGTTCAGCCTGAGAATGGTAAGTTTTCCAGCTGATCTGAAGCTCCTCCAGCATCCCTTTGCTCATGGCATTGACACTATTGGTATCCAATGGAAGCTGCGGGATATCTTTCGTTGTACCAGAATCAATACGAAGAAACAATCTTAGCTTCGCCTCGATAGACTTCACGTAATTATCAGCAACCGGAGATTGTTCACACGACACAATTTCTTCTGCTGGTACTGGAACAGACGAGTGCTGCACGTGTCCAAGCACAAATTTCTCTTCGTTGCTTCGCAATTGAGAGCGTAAAGGGTTACGTTGAACTCGCTGCACACACATATCAGCATACTCGGTTTCCTCGTCGATACAAGCCATGGCAGTATTTAGCACTTGCGTTTGGCCGAAGAGAAAGCCAAGACGATTCGCCTCTCTAAGCAGCGCCACAACCAGAATCTTCACTACTGGTTCACGATAACTCAACTTGTAGATTGTCAGTAAACTCTTCCTTTCAAAACTAGAAAATGGCCGACTCGACCGACACGCTCGTAGCACTTGCACTGCTGCTTCTGCTCCTGTCATCTGTAGGCGTTTGCTTGGCACGTTTGTCCCCGCTCGGGTACAAATAGCTGCCAGCTGCAGTCTCGCACCGATCGTCTCAGTTTCAAAAGTCTTCAAGCGACGATGGACGTCGTAGCAATGCACTTCCACCCGACTATCCGCCGTATTGGGAATAATGATATCAACCATCCCATCAGAAGATTCCTCGACGAAACCAACGGGGAGAAGCAACCGCAGTTCCGACCGAGCTGTATCGGATTTGTCCTGCAGCTTTAGTAGCAGATACCGACTGAACCTTGGCAGAAAGTCGTCAAATTGCTGGTTAGTCGCCAAGGTGTACCCTTTGTGTTCCACAGATTCGAAGTCCAAGTTGCTGTTCAAGATAAACGTAAGTTTACATCGCGGTAGCTCAATCGTCAGGAAACCTTCAGGAGATCTCAGCGGGTAAAGAAATTTTGCTGCCTCGAACTTCGTCAGTATCTTGAAAACGCTCAAAAGCGATTCGTTTCTCTGAACAAAGCGGTCAAAGTCGCCAAGACTGCTCAAGAGTTCTTCATATGGTAGCTTAGTGTCGCTGAATGGTATTCTGTAGCATTGGACAGAGCATCCATCGTCAAATGTAGCAACGAAGAATACTTCTCGATCTTTCGCCTCCGTTCGTCGGAAAAGTACACAATTCTGCTCCACCCAGTACCAGTGCGAGTACAGTTTCCGTAGCTGAGCTGGGAACAAGTAATGCAACGCTTTTACCCAAGTGGTAGTGCACAGCTGAAGTGTTCTCGTGATCTCACCACAAGCGTTTACGCAGAGTTCTTGGACAAATAGTTCTCCCTCTTCTTCCAGTGCGAAATCATACAAGCGATCACAATACTTTCGTTCCGTTCGAAGCACGCCGTTAGTAGAGAAAACTTCAAAGTTACTCGGCCCAAACAAACTCCGAAATCTCTCATGCCGACGGATGTCGACTGGAAGCCCTCCAGGCGCATAGCCATCCGTCAGAACAAGTCCTGTGAACAAGTTGATCGAGTAGTGAACATCCATCCGTGTGTCAATCGCTTCAAAGCAGCTCCCAAATTGCTCACCATGCGATGATAGCTCACTAAACCGCTTCCACTTTAATCGTTCCGGAGATGTTGCACTCACCAATCTCACCAAACCAGTAAGCACCGTCTCAATACCGCGTTTCTTCACATACGTAACCAGCTCCGCAATCCGACGAGACATCACCTCAGCAATCTTACTTTCGGTGCGAATCGCTTGATCGTTGGATCTCAGATTAATACTCGAACAAAGGAACGAGGTGCGAAATAGCACGATCAGTTCACAAACTTCTTGGGCTATTTCGTCATCCCACGGCCCGAGACTGTAGGCCAGCAATGAAAAACCATAAAGTACGCATTCCTTTCGTCGAATCGTAGCAATTCGAATGGGCGAGGATTTGTCCTTGTACTCCGAGCGAGCATCTTTCGCCCAACGCCGTGTCATTCCAGCGAACATCTTCACAAATCGTCGTGCATTGATCGAGTACTGCGACGCATAACCCGCCAGCTCGCTGAGAAGCGGGACATTCTCAAAGTTGCGCGGAGTCTGTGCAAGTTTTTCGGCCGTTCTCTCAAGCGTAGCACAGAACGTGTCCAGACCCTCGCTTCCCTTAAGCATGTCGAATCTCCACAGCAATTGAGGGCTCACTTCGTCTGTGAGAACTCCGAGTTGATAGAGTGACTGCCGTACAATAACTTCCACGCAAGGGTTCGACCACGGAAGGATGTCTCCAAGCAGAGCCCACTGTAGCTTTCGGTACTGTTGATTCGGGAATGCACGCAATGATCCCAGAGCAATAAACGCGCTTTTCTCGAAGTCTTCGGGCTGCTGGTGTAAGTTTGCATAGACCATATTTCCCCGTGTATCGTCTTGACCAGGCCACGTATTCATCCATTGGAACTGGTGAAATCCTTTGGGCATTGTCTCCACATAGCTGTTGATCACACTGGCCTCTGTGGCAGCAAATGGGTCGAGCTTATTGCCAAATGAGTCCGTCCACGTCAGAGTTGTACCATACAAAGTCGGATTCCAGACGCATTCAGAGCTGTACTGAGCAAGACTGTACAAGTTGTCGACTGACTTGGGGCCTAAAGAACGTGGACACGAGAAATGGGCAGGGTTTGCTGTGAACACCTTGCTGGTTGCGGGGAGGAGCGCTCGAGATGATGCGTGGCCAGAGTAAAACTGAAGCCATGTTGTAGGACTCAAGGCTGGTAATCTTGTCATTTCAGAAGTTGCCTGAGCTGGGACAAGAGCTCGCTGTGCGGTTAAGCACAAGTTACCCAGAATTTCGATATTGCGCGGCATGGTCAGCATGAAAATCACTTGTATGGCATCGTTCGTTGCTTGAGGAAGCGGTCGTACCAAGTACCGGGGAACAGCAAGTGATCTACTAAGCGCAGCTTCCTTGTTTCTGATGACAGAATTAGCTTGCTGAATATCGCGTTCCAGTTGGGTTTTGACAGCACTTTTGGGGTAGTAGTGCCAATGGTTGGAAACATTACGAGCATATTCCTGGCGAAGACGTTCCTCCTCATTTGCAAGTTGCTGCTGCTTTGTCACCAGATTCTGGTTTTGCAGATTAATGTCTGCTCGAAGTTGAGCGGCTTCTCTTTTTTTATTTTCAATCACACTCCATTGGCCTCTCACATATGCGTCCCAAATCTCCACCTCACGATTATACGCATTAATCATGCTGGTGCTGCTCAATCCAAACCTTCGTCCAAACTCAAATGTTGGTTCCTGGTTGGTCAAGTGAAACAGTGGGGTTCCTCTGATCGTATCATTCCAGCCGCGAATGTACGTGGCGACACGCTGAAGAGCAGAAGTAGCTGCTCGATCACGAAGAACCGCCACCTTAAGATCTCTCCAATCTAGCGCGATGTTGTACTCGGCACACAACGGCACTTCATCGATACATGTATGATGTACGAGACAAAATGCAACCCAAATGACCAGCATCTCTCGACTGCGCTGCTCCACATTTAGGACAGACGTCATCCGCGGAAGTTGACGCCATTGCTTCAAACACTGCTGGTACCGGGTTACAAGTGTTTGTATATTCTCCAAGCTATACAAATGTCCATGCACATCATCACTAGTCAAGCGAAGAGATTTTTCAAACATAAACGCCTCAAACGTCCGCAATATCAGAATGCTGCTGTAGGTGGCCGGACACCCATGTGATTTCTCCCACCGAAGTAATTCACCCAAGGTACACGATACTCCATTCAGATAGTAGCATCCTTCGAGATTCTTCCACGCTCGCTCGTGACGCTCTTCAGTACTCTCACTATTGTCCGAGTCCTTGATTCGCTTTGGTGAAACCATCTCAATTTCACTCGTCAGCTTGTTAAGCAGCTCCAATATCGTGTCTTTGGGTAAAACGTAACGTGATGCAGTCTGGCGGTTCAAAACGTTAACAAACTCGTCAATTCTGGAGCGCACCCCAACACACTGACCCTTGATCGCCGACACATCATACTTGCATTCCAAAAGCTCGAGTGTGTTCTGAACAACAACCTGGAGCATGTAAAACAAGTCGTCCACACGCGCACACCCTTCCTCCAGGTTAATGCTGTCACCGCAACAAACGTGCTCGGTCTTGTCCACTGCTTCTTGAAGCAGCTTCAGCTTCATTGCTACCATCGTCTTCCTAAACAAACCTGGTTCACAACTGAGATTGCGGGCAATTACTTCTTGGACAAGAGCCCAGCACGTATCCCGTGCTCGTCCTCCAGTATGCTGCCCCACATCTGTTGTACCTCCTTGTGCAACGAAGGTGACATTGCCAATATCCGGCGCATTCTCCATTAACGATGCAACACTGCGCTTCACTACAGCCGCGATGAACTGCGGCGTCTTTTGATGTCCCAACTCGTTTGTCGCCGCACTCCTCTCCGATCCTTTGCTTCTCTGAGCTTTACGCAGCTGTGAGTTAAATACACTCGAAAATTTCGCCTCCAACTCTGTATCCAGGACTGCGCAGCACTGAGGAATGTGTGGACGGTGCGTTGAAGGAACTGCGCTATGTACACACACTCCAGTTGGCAAGAAATGCAGCGTGCGCTCCCAGCCGTCAACAGAAACTACTTGGACCGCAGTCTCGACTGCATTTTTCTGGCTTCGTTGCAGCACGCAGCCATACTTGGGCAGCCACGGGTCATACCACACGTCACCTCTCTTATGTCTTCCCTTCGACGCTGTCAGACGTTGAGCCGTATGCTGCAGCACTTCCACTTCATGTACAGTAAAAGCAGAGGCAGGAACAACTCGGTTGTCTGCAAGAGGCTCCACATCACCGCATTTGTGTCCTGGCATCTCGACAGCTTCCACGTTCGCTACAAAGGCAGCGAACAACTTCACGAGCTCTTCACACACTGCCGCTTCCTGGCGATCGCTTGGGGTCTTGTACTTGAAGCGAAAAACGGCGTTGAGCAGCTCATTATCCTCCATCTCCGTTGGTACAGTTTTGGCACTCGGCTTTCTCTCTCTTTTTCCTTGCTCCGGGCAAATTGGAAACTGAGCTACAAGTTCTGGCTGGAACATCCTAGTCGTCCTCAGTCAAGAACTCGCTCAAGGATTCGGCCGTTAACACGCAAGCCTCTCCTTGTATAGATAGGCATGTTGACAAGCCCGTTGTAATTTTTTCTTCTGTATCCACGGAAACCTGGCAAGCATTCACCCGTTAGACCGGAGAAGATTTGGGTCCTTCGGTTGGTTAGACAGGGCTCCTCACCCTGGTCGTTAAGCCCGGCAGATGCCGCTGTAGGGCTCGTCATCGAGGTGATTGAGCAGCAAGTGGGCGGGTCCGAGAGAACTTGACCTTGCGTGCGAGCAGCCACTAACGACCATCACTCTCCTCATGCCACCATTCCATTGGCTATTTCAAGTTGAAGTAAGTCACCAATCAGAGCGCTGCTGGTCAATCCAAACCGCTCTGCAACCAGTTATGCAACATAGTGCAACTGTGTGCATAACCTGAGCCACACGTGAACGCCATGATGCTCGCTCGATGCCGCGCCGCCCTCACGGCATCTTTCACTTCTGACGCCCCTCTTTACGCCATCGCGGGCGTTTACTGTCAGAATGTGCGCTGGATGGGTCGCGGACCCACTATTCAAGGCAAGAAGAACGCTACCGATGCGGTACGACAGCGATAAACTCTTCAGCAATTGACAGACAGGGACAGCTGACGAACGAGGGGCTTCGTTTTTTTCACTGCAGAAACGCACAACTACCAACGCCAAATTGGCACGCGAGATTATGGTCATATCTAAGTGTATGTATCAAAGTCAATGTGGATTCGAAGTGCTCTGGATGCTAAATACTGACGATGGTTGGCATTCTTGATCTGCAGCGGTGGGAGGCGATGCGAATAACGTGGTGCGTAATATGATAGGAGGTTGCCGTAGAGAGCGATTGCTGGATATTGACTGTGTATTGGCTGGTGGATTCAGCGTCTTGTGGCAGCGATAAACAAGGCCAAGGCGGCGAACATGCCCAAGGACAAGATTGAGGCGGCGATCAAGCGCGGTGTCGAGGGCAAAGACGGTAGAGCCAGGGCTCTGTATGGCTGAGTTTTGAGGTAAAAGTTAATAGAAGTTGTGTGTGGTTATGTTAAATGCAGGAAGCAACGCGGAGGCTGTGCTGTACGAAGCTACTGGTCCAGCTGGGAGTGCTCTGATGGTATAATCGACCTTTGGGGTGTCGTTGTCAACTTAAGCGCTTATCGCTTGATGCTTGTTTTCTTGCTGTTAGATTGAGACGCTGACGGACAACAAACGCCGAACAGCTCCAGCACTACGTCACATTCTGGGCAAAAACAGCGGCGCTCTTGGCACGAATGGTTCGGTCGCTTGGATGTTCGAGCGCAAGGGCTACCTCGAGGTACAACCCTGAACCGAAAATTATAGCGGTGGTGGTTCTCACGTTTGTCACCGTGCTGTCTGCAGATCGAACTCTCATCAGGCGATGGAGATAAGCCCGAGATGGACGAGGACACGCTCATGGAGATCACGGTACTGGGCTGAAAACTCTTTGGGTAGTGTGTGATGTGTTGCTGACCATTGCTGTCGTTACTGTAGCTCGAGGCGGGAGCTGACGACGTGGAGATGCGTGAGGGTCTGGCACAAGTCACGTGTGATCCCAGCGAGCTGGCGGCCGTACGCAAGAGCTTCACTGAGGCTGGACTGGAGCCAGCCATTTCCGAGCTCATCTACAATCCCAAAGAGTTCCTGGACCTCGAGGGTGAGCAGCGTGAGACCTTCGACAAGCTCATCGACGCTCTCAACGAGGACGAGGACGTCAACCAGATCCACCACAACGTCAACGAGTAAACCTGCCTCTCTGTACAGCGAGAGAAACACGGGAAACCAATGAATTTTCACTTAATGTGCGGCGAAGCAAGCGGGGACTTTCAGCTCGTCTTCCGCTGTGCTCTCCTCCAAATAGATACGCTACTTACTACCCGCTTCAACGACGGGTGTCTCCTTCCTCCTAGAGATCCGAGAATGACATACGCTTGTCGTTATTGAGTTGCGAGAACGTCAGTGGATCATCCTGTACGTTCTCGCTCGCTGCTGCAGCGTCGTCTATTGCTGGTGGTGACGGGAAACCGTGCGCGACGGTCTGAAGCTCCTCAGCTGGCAGCTCCAGCTGCTCCATCGGGAAGGCAGCAACAACATCCTCAGCGTGGACAACATCGCGCTTACTCACTAACTGCACAGCATCCACGATCTCGTCTGGACTGTTGTAGCCGTCGTCCTCCTCCTCCGACTCGACCTCAAACTCCCGGACCAACACATCCGTGTTAAAGCGAACGTGTCGACCATGAGCCCGCCGCCTTTTCTTCTTCTGAAGCTCATTTTGGGCTGCGAGTGACATGTACTCGTCCCTGAACTCGAGCGGAATTCGGTTGCGAGCTTCGCGGATTTTCCGTGCCAGATCGGCCGCCTTCTGCTCCTCCACAGTCAGTCGCGCATGCCTCGCAGCACGTTTTCGATTTACCAATCCACTAGCACCTGATCGTCGTGAAAGCTGGCCCTTAAATCCCCCAACAAACTCCGCTACACTCGTTGCGCCCGATGACACACGAACACGTCCAGCGAAGCCGGGGTGGTTGACATCCGGGAAGTCTTCATCCGCCGCAGCCGCGTCATCATGCTCATCGTGTTCGTGGTCCTCATCATCTTCTTCGTCGTCCGACTTCGAGTGGATTTTATCCACATCTCGCACGTTCTGGAACGACCGACAGAGCGGATTGTCGTCCTCGTCATACGCGTCGAACGCCAGAGGAGGCGCCGGGAGGTCCTTCTTGGGCTGAAGTCGAGGAAGCGTCTTCGTCGGAGCACCAGTAGCACCATTGGAACTGGTCGAACTAGCGCCACTGAGTGAGCTCAGTGAACTGCTGCCACTGGCGATGCTGTCACTGGTCGCCTCCGACGCCAGTAAGTCTGTTCTCGCCTGTTGAGCACATTGCATCCCGTTCGAGTCCAGCAGTCGTACAGCAACAGGCTGTTGAACTTCTGGTACTTGTTGTATGTGGCTTTTAGCTGCTGGCACTTCCCAACTCGAGTCTGCGCGGTTCCTGTCCACAGTGTCCGGGTCCAGCATGGGGAACTCATTGTCGATATTCTGGTGCGTCGTTGACTCGTGCGTGCCTAGCACCGCTGTCCCCTGTTCATGCACGGCCTTCAAGTCGCTGGCCGACCCCTTTTTCTTCTTACCCATGTGGAAACCCTTAAATCCCAGCAGCGATTTCGACCCTTTCTTGGCGTCAATGTCAGCAGCCTGTTCACCTGCTTCCACTCGTGCTGATGTGGCTGCATCTGCCCCTACAAAGTCCGATCTCCTCGATTGCTGCTGGTGATTCCACCCTCCAGATTGCAAAAAGTCCAAATCCGATCGTCGTCCTTTTGGTCCGGCGTTTTTGGGCGCTTGTTTGAGGAAAATCTGGCCGATAGTCGAGTTCTCGAAATATTTGTTACCGTCAGATGCAGCCACATAGGGTGTTCCATCCGGCGCGTGTTCCACCACATACGTTACGTTAGGCTGGGGTGGAGTTGTGTCCACGATGTTGTTGAGAGCCTGTGTCTTGCCAGTCATGACCTCAGTGAGCACACTGGACAATGATGATACGGCAGGCACGGGGCGAGAGGCGCCGGGTAGTGCCGGTCGGTACTCGTCTCGGTCTTGAGCCTCATTCTCCTCGTCCTTTGGGGAGGCAGCAGCTCTACGCGTGCGACGACGGGAGAACGACAGCTCGTAAGTGGTCTGGCCAGGCTTAATGAAGCGCCGACGGGGTCGTACACGCGCAGGTGGGCTCGGGAATCCGTCCACGGGGTCCAATTCGTCCACATCGTCGTCCAAAGCGTCGTCGTCCTTATCCGTATCGCTGCTGGCCATGGGGCTGTCTACCACGCGAGTCGTACGGTCCGCTCGGCGGCGGTCGGCGTCGTGCATCAGCGAGTTCATCGCCAGCATGCGCATGGCTGTTGACCCACCCCCGTGGAGGAATAAATTGCGAACGGTCTGGAGCTGAGGGGCGTCTCGCTGTTTGGCGTTTGGTTGCAGTGTACGGCCTCCACCACCTAGGTTTTTAGCCCAAGATTTGAGGAGCCCACTAACGCCACCGACTGCGTTGTTTCTTTTTTCAAGAAAGTGGGAGTGTTGGCGGTGGATGAAACTGGATTTTTGTAAGCTCCGGACGGGCACGCGAGCTGGATGCTAAACGACGGTCTACATTTTTGCCGTTCTGTCTCTCCGCATGTATCGCACTGAAGCGATCACGCTGGAAGCAATCGACTTGTTCTGTACGTGGAGGGATGCGGCAATCGAAAGCAACTCGCTCCAGCGCTGGAGTTTGGCTGTTCATTGCTGCTTCTGCAAAGATTAACGCAGATGTCCTCAACGGGTCAAACCTTCACCACGAAGTTCACGTGAATCCGCAAAACTTCAAGAAAAGGGGCGTCGTCATGGCATCGTACAGGCAGGCAATCTCGATATCAATACTAGTAACGCCGTAACTTGAGCAGCTTCAGCCGTGTCAAGTGTAGCGGAGGACATGTAGTACGTGCATTTTAAAGGTCACGTAGAAACCATCGCACATGTTAATCCGGTAAAGGTGGATGCCTGCAGTGCAAGCGGCAGCAGAGGAGCATTCAGGTTCTGGACAATTTGGCGGGAAAGCCTCGTGTGCAGGGACGTTTTATGAGCCGAGCGCCACCGAATTCCGTGTGCCGCAATTGGCATTAGCTGCCGAGGAGTTCTCGGCGAGGACCAGGACCACCGGTTGAAGATGGATGCAAGGCATCAGCATAGCTGACGCAGCAATGCATCTAGACTGCAAATGCTGTTGGCCACCAAGCGTCGTGTACATCGTGAAAATGTATCAAGTGTACACGTCACTTCCAACGCGCCACCGAACGCTGAGCGACACAGAGTAACATGTACGGTATCGATTTTGTCTTCCTCTCGAATATCATACGCACTCTGTTTCGAAGGTTTGACATTGGTGCAACCTCCTATTCAGTCCACCTTCGCGTCACCTGCCGACTTCTGATCATCCGTCTCGCCACAAGTACATCAGACACGCTTGCTTGGTCATGAGCGCTCCTCCGCCACCTCCGTCTGCAGCCGGCGCCTCCACAGAGACGAAGACCGCGTCGCCGCCGCGCAACGGACTTACCAAGGAGGATGTGGTGGGTCAGGAGTTGATCCAGTGGCTAGAGAGCAACGGCGCCGACACGAAGAAGCTGACTCTGCAGGAATATGCACCCGAAGTGCGTGGTGTGCACAGTCGCAAGGTTCTGGTGCCTGGCGAGCGTATCCTCGTGATCCCGAAGAAGTGCCTCATCACAGTGGAAATGGGCAAGCAGACGGACATCGGACGCAAGCTGCTGGCGCGTAATGTGGACTTTGTGGCGCCCAAGCACATTTTCCTCATGATGTTCCTGCTCACAGACATGGAGCACGTGGAGACGTCCTTCTTCCGCAATTACTACAGTACACTTCCCTCCACACTCAGTAATATGCCCATCTTCTGGTCCGAAGAGGAGCTCAGCTGGCTCAAAGGCTCGTACATCATCCAGCAGATCCAGGAGCGCAAGGCCGCTATCCGCAAGGACTACGACGTCATCTGCAGGGTGCGTTGCATTGGTTGACTGTAATAAGGGTCGTTATTTATGCTAATTATTGTGTTTTGTTGCTGCAGGTGGACCCGTCGTTCGCGAGGTTCTCGCTCGACCGCTTCAGTTGGGCGCGTATGATCGTCTGCAGTCGTAACTTCGGCCTGACAATTGACGGAGTGAAGACGGCGGCGCTCGTACCGTTTGCAGACATGCTGAACCACTACCGTCCACGCGAGACGAGCTGGACCTTCGACCAGAGCATTGACGCGTTCACTATTACGTCTCTGGGAACGATCGGCACGGGCGCACAGGTTTACGACTCGTACGGCAAGAAGTGCAACCATCGCTTCCTGCTCAACTACGGCTTTGCCGTCGAGGACAACACTGAAGAGGACGGCCGCAACCCGAACGAGGTGTTGATCGATTTCCAGTTGTCTCCTGCCGACGGACAGCTATTCTACGACAAGCGAGCGTACCTGCACGAGAGCGGCATCTACACCATGGACGCTCGACTGAGCTGTTCGCACTCGGATGCCAACACACGCGAGGGATTCAGCTTCGCTCGTCTGATTGTTGCTACTGAAGAGGAGTTCTCCACGATGAAGATGAAGAGCCCCGCGCACTCGTCTCCGCCCATTTCGTTCGACAACGAGATCCGCGCGCTCCAGTATCTACGCAATCTGATGACCCACCAGCTCAGTCTGTACGACACGACTATCGAAGAGGACAATGAACTTCTGGCCTCAAAGCAGTACCCGCTGTTCTCCAACCGCATCCAGGCGCTGTTCTTCATCCGGGGCGAGAAGCAGGTGTGCCGATACTTCCAGGAGCTCGCAGACAAGGTCATCCCGCTCTTCAGCCTGCCTCTGGCTCAGTGCCGCGAGGAACTGCAGCGCAGTTTCGATGGAGATGGCGACATCGACCGCTACGCGCAAGACGTCATCGCCTATTTAGTGACGCAAGTGTACCGCGAGAGCTAGTGCTCGCTCACTCACTCGATGCTTTGGGCGTGTGTAGTCTGGGCGCATTTGTGGTGATATTCCCACACGTTTTTTTGGGAGCGACAGCGTGATGCTCGCTCGCTTGTGACAAAGAGTAAAAAAGGCGAAAGTTAGTGAGTGTCCTGAAGCTATCGAAGCAGTCGGCGATGCACATTAGGGATAAAGTTAGAAGACAGGGCCAACAACGATATGGACTGCTGCTGTGTGTCACTTGTACTCTGATGTCTCTATACCTCCTCTTCTTCGTCTTCGTAGAGGAAGTCGAGATTAACGAGATAGCGCAACTTCACTTGTTCCTGGCGATACACGATGAACTCGTTGTAGAGCAGAGAGCCGCCGCCATCGGATGGCATGAACTCTCCGATGGGGACAACAACACCGTCCTCCCTGTTGTAAACAATTGAGTTACTATCTCACAATGATACAAAAGACAATGAATGGTATCAAACGTACATGGTCTCGTGGTCGTCTTCGGGAGCAGCCATGCGACCTACACCGTGTGTACTATCACATCCCTTGGTTTTCTTCAAGGTAGTGTACGTCAGATCTTCTGCTTCTTGAGCCTTGTAGGGGGTGCCCAAGGCCACCTCAGCTAAGATCAACACGCCCTGCAACGCGAAGTTAACTAGAGGGATTCAGGTACGAAAGCATCGACAAACATACCTTCGGGTTCTGAGGCGTAGTCCAGCAGTAGTTCGCTGATTTGGACACCGAGTCGGCGAAATAGATCTGGAAACATTTTACGAATCGTTAGCACTGACGGTAGCAAGTAGCATGCGAAAGCAAATTCCCACGTACTCCTTTGCCGAACATGTAGCCGTTGTTTGGTGCCTCAGGTGGAGCCACGCGAAGTCCCTTGGACAGGATCCCGACGACGTTCGATAGGCGAGAGCCGTGCCACAACAACTGCAAATAGCCAAGCATTAGTCAGCTTACAAACATGATTACACTACTCGAGCTGCTCTTGCATTTGACGAACCTTGTGGTTGTTCACAGACTTGAAAACGTCCGTGAACATCTCTTCATCCGGACGGTTGATCTTAAGAACGGACTTGATTCGCAGTTTGTACTGCACGTGAGTCGGAGCGTGAGTGGTCTCCACATATCTACAGCACCGCAACACGTCAGTACAACTAACTACACAACACTGCCTCTCCATACGTACCTCTCAATAACCTTGAACTCCTCGGTCGAATCAGGAAGTGGCTCCATCTTAACGTTGAGCATATTGAACTGCGCATCGAGCGAGTTCAACTTGGCGCCGGCATTCTTCTTCGCATTCTTCTTCTTTTCAGCTTGCAGCTTCTGCGAAATCTCGATATTTGCCAGCACCTCGAGCAAGTCAATCTTCAGCTTCACCTCGTCCAACGAATCGATCGGAGGCGGTAAGTTTCGACCGAAATCGTGCGGGATCAAAGTGTAAAATTCGCTAGAGAGGGTCTTCAGACTAGTCTTCAAGCGGCGGATTTGGGCAGCATTAGGCTTCGCTACTCGCTTGACCCGAGTGGATCGTCGGGTTCCAGATCGTCTCGTAGGTGCCTCCTGAGCGTTTGAGCCAACCTTGTTGAGCTCTTCGATCTCCTTGATTGCTTCTGAGAGCTGCTGTAATAAAGCGTAACCCTGCGAGATTTGCGTTTTAGAGAGTTTGCCTAAATGAACAAGAAAAAAATAGTAAAATATCACCAGGAACAGCCACAATCTGCCTGTCACCAACCCAACGGGAGCCTCTTCAAGTCAAGATTCATATTTGCCACTTCTCGGGCGATGAGGTCGGCATCACAGATGAGCTGCAAACACAACAGTCAGACCGCTATCCACAACAGCAGCTATACAGGGAGAGACGAACCTTCAACACGTCTTGAATGGTCTCGTGTAGAGTCGACGCTACCTCTTCTTCCTTCTCGACGTCGCTTATCTCTTCCTCCTCTTCAGGGACTTCATCGTCCAGTTCTGGATGCCATAAAGGAATAGTATCAGTCTCGCACCCGTTTGGATCAAATGTCTACCGCTACAGTCAGTTACCGACGAGCACGTATTTTCCCTCCACTCTCTCAAACGGCCCAGTCAGTGGCCACTCATTGCCGCTCTTGTCCAGGAACTTCTTAGAAAATGAGGCCTGCGCCTTTTCCAGCGACGTGTTGTATCGCTCCAGAGCGCGCTGCGGGTTCTTGGCACCGACGCGTCCCCATTTGCGGAAGACCATGTAATTGTTGCCGTCCTGGATCAGCTGCACCATGTAAAACTTGTTGTTTCTGCATGGCAATGATCAGTAAAACGTCAATGCAAATTCATCGCTGAGCAACCCACCCATACGTCCCAAAGGAGATGTTGGTGTAGTTAAGCATGAAGCTCCAGGCGACGCCATTAGCATCCTAGTTGACCACCCGAAAATGGACATTAAAACGGCAACGGTTAGACCCATGCAACTTGACGGATCAATCGAGACAATCGCAACCTGGTAGACCTCCGCTGAGCTGGGGCAGCCGCTCAGCGGGTCCACGCGCTTGGCAGCACTTCGAGGTGGCATTTCAATTATAATCGTGGCGCCAAAATGAAATTATCAACGCTGTTATTTTGTCCAATTAAAACTGAGGACAAGAAGTGTATGTTGTCTTCAACTGCAACCTTCATAAAATAAAATAATTCTTTACGCCTCATGCAGGGCAGAGCGTTTGTCTGTGCCACTTGTCGTTGCACTCTCACTGCCTTTTACCAGGCGCATGCGACGTTCTGGAAGTCCAGAGCTACGAGGTAGCGCAGCTGGACCTGCTCGCGGCGGTACACGATGAACTCGTTGTACAGCAAATACTGGTTGCCATCCACAGGCTGCAGCGTACCGGCAGGCACAACCACGCCGTCGGGCAGTGTCTCGAACTCGTTTTCCGCCGGAGCCATGCGTCCAAGTCCGTGCGTGCTGTCACATCCGCGCTCGTTCTTCACCATTTTGTAGTCCAGAAACTGGCCGCTTGGCGTCTTGTACGGCGTACCCAGTGCGACGTCAGCGAGCAGAAGCACAGCCTGCAAGGCAGTAAGTACAAGAGATATATAAGCACCAACACCACACTTTAATGCGCCACCTCAACGATCGTACCGTTGGGTTCTTGGTCGTGGTACAGCAGTAGTTCGCAGATTTCGCCAACGCATCGGCAAAGTACAGCTGCAGCATCAAACCAAACGAGAATAGAGGGTTAGAAATTCAGCAACAACGTTCTACACTCCACTCCGTGCACCGTACTCCTTTGCCAAACTGATATCCGTTCTTTGGAGCTTCAGGTGGGGCAATACGCAGTCCCTGCGATAGAATACCGACGAAATTGGACAGTCTCGAGCCGTGCCACAGCAACTGCAGCACCAGTGAATAGGTACCTTCAAGTAAAAAGATGAGAATCTGTTAAGCGTACCATGTGATTGTCCAACGATCCTAGAACGTCCTTGTGAGCTTCTTCGTCCGGACGAGCAATCTTGAGAATCGTGTTGACATTGAGCTTGCTACCACCGTGAGTCTTCTGGATAAACCTACAGATAGTATCACGTTAGTAAAATCAAGTAATGATCCTCATCCGATAAACCACATACTTCTCGATGATCGTGTACTCTTGGCCGCTCTTTTCCAGAGGTTCCATGCTCGTGTTGAGCATATTGTAGTGCATATCGAGCGGATGGATCGCAGTTCCACTGGTTTTTTTCGCTTCTTTCTTCTGCAGCATCTGCGAGATCTCGAGATTCGACAGCACTTCGAGCAGTTCCAGTTTCAATTTGAGATCTGCCAATGTACCGATCACCGGTGGCAGGGAGCGACCGAAATCGTGCGGAATGAGCGAGTAAAACTCGCTGGAGAGCGACTTGAGCTCTGCTTGAAGAGCCGATAGACTTCTGGTGGTTGCCGCAGTTGGTCCCTTCGCTTTCGCCCTGGCCTTTCGTCTGCTTTTCGCACCAGCTTTGGTTGTTTTGGCTGCTGCTTCGCCCTTTGACAGCTGCCCAATCTCCTCCAAAGCAGCCGAAAGACGCTGTAGGATCTCGTAGCCCTGCGAGATCTGCGCCTTCGACAGTTTACCGAGTGGAAAGCGCTTCAGATCCACGTTCAAGCTGGCCATTTCTCGCGTCACCACCTCTGGATCGCAAATAAGCTGTCACATCAATCAGTCACTGTTCAATTAGCAAGAAAGCACCAAGTTGTTCCTACCTGGACGATATTCTGCACTTCTTGGGACAGTTTGGACGCCACAGCATGCTTCTCCTCCACCGTTGCTTCTGTATCTGCAGAAGATCCATCCGGTTCTCCGTCGTCCAGCTCTAACAAGGTTAAGTCACATCACATCACATCACCGTTAAACGTATAAAAACTTACTCTAAGCCATCAAGTTACTCACCGACGAGGAAATATTTGCCTTTCTTGCGGACGAAAGGCTCCGTGAGCGGCCACTTGTTGCCGCTCTTGGCCTGAAAGACCTTCTGGAAGGCATGTTCGGCCGATTCTGTGCTGCTGAAGTACTCTGTCTTCGACTGTGGCGTCTTGGCCCCCACGCGGCCCCACTTGCGGAAGACCACGAAGCGTCCGCGGTCTATGATGAGCTGCCCCATGTAGAATTTATTGTTGCTAGAGACAGAGACGCACAGAGCCAATTAACGACGGACTTAAGAGCAAAATTTGCCGATCCCTGTCTCACCCGTAGATGCCGTAGGAAATGTCCGTTAAGTTCAACATGAAGCTCCAGCGCTCGCCATCCGCGTCCTGTCATAGCGAAGACGTTAGCAATTAGGTGACAGCCACTTGCTGCTAGTGGAGCGTACGCGATAGAGCTCGGCGTTGGCGCTGCAGCGGCTTAACGGGTCGACGATCGTGGCAGTTGACGCCATTGGATGCGGAATTGAAGAATGACCAGAAAGCTCAAGACCACGTCAGTCCTCTTGAAGTGTAAGATCGCGATTAGAGAGAACCATCACTCACGTAGTCGAAAAGAAATATCGCTTTAGCAGCATTTCATCTTGAATTTTGTAAGACTTCATTTGGCGAAAAAAGGCTTTTATGCCGTTAAAGTGTAGTTGAAGTTGTCGTTGTGAACGAATCTTAGTCTGCACTGCACTAATGGGCAACAGGTGAAGGTCAGATCCCTCTATCAATGAAATTGGTCAGCGTACGTCACGGTTGTGTGTTGCATCCATGGTTTTATCGCAATCAAAAACAAGCTGGAATGCTCATGCAGTCCTCATAAACTGGTGCTAAGACGGGAGCACGCTGGCTAAAGAACAATGACTCGCGCATATTGGTCTTTGGTCAAGGGCAGGACATCCCCCGACCTCGATGCCATCGTGAACAGGGCCAACAAATGGATCCCTTGTGGCGTTTGGGCAACGCGAATATGAACTTCTCCCGCGCTTCAGAGAATGAGCAGCACATTATGTTGAGCTCCCACCGCAAGGGTCTGACAGTGAGTTATTGTTATTATGTTTATCTCGATCATTACTGATCCAGTGATGCTACCAGGTATTCTCAAACCACGTAGTCCGTCCTGGCTTGAGGAGCTGAGGTTGATTTCTAGTGGGGCCTGCGTTGGGGTCTGCTGTTGGTGGATAGTCGCAGGAAATGAAAGAAGACACTAGGTGATCTGTATCCGATGCTGATGAAATCCACTTGGCTATCGTGTATTCTACCTCGCCCAAAGGCTGAGAGAAAATGCTGTAAGCATCACTAGTTGCAAGCAATGCATTATTGCAGAATCTATATTGGAATATAGTCGCCCAGTTTTCAGATTTCTATCGTAAACGAGTCGGTCACGAAATGCTGTAGGGATGATTGTACTGTGCACAATATTCGTTAACTACAATTACAATGGCAATTGAGTGCCAGGAATCGAAGGTAGACAGGCTCTAGGGTTTGTCGTCTTCACCGTCGAAGTAAGGGATCTCGCCTTGTGTGGTCACTCGAACGGCGTGTCGGTTGCCAGGTAAGTAGTCGAACGTGGCGAAGTGAGCGGTGATGCGGTTGTCCCAGACCGCCACAGCATTCTTGGACCAGCGGAAGCGAACTTGGAACTCGTGGCCCTCCGTGATATGCTTATACAGCACTTTGAGCACTGCATCTGTATGACCACAAAAAAACGTTAATCACGAATATTTCATTCACAGCACACCAACGTCCAAGCTTATCGTACCTGACTCGCGAGAAGAGAGCTGCCGAATGCGTCTAGTGAACGCGGGGTTGACAAACAGAGCCTTGCGTCCAGTGACCGGGTGGGTGCGCACGACCGGGTGCTCAAATTCCACCGGAGCTCGACGAATTGTATGTCCACGTTGCTCTGCTCGCTCGGCTTGAGCCTTGCTGCTGTGAATCGCTGTCAACCCCTCAATGAACTTCTTGAATGGCGGTGAGAGTCGCTCGTAAGCTTCGTATGCGGATGCCCACAAGGTGTCACCACCAAGCGGAGGGTTCGTTAACACCTTGAAGCTCGTGTACGACGGAGGCTGACGCTCGTTAGACACGTCACTGTGCCACACATTATCCGGGTCGTACTGCTGGCGTTTGATGATACGGTCGCTGTCAGCCACCGAGTTCTCGACCACCAGCACTTCCGGGTGTCCTTCAGGGTGACCGAGGTTCTGGTGTACGTGTAGAGGTCCGTAGTAGCGACCGAGATCAATCTGCTGCTCGATATTAATCTCCTGGTCTCGAAAGAAGACTACGCCGCGGTGAGAGACCAGCAGGGCAAGCTCATCGCGCTGCGCGTCCGTGAGCTCATGCAGTTGAATACCCGACAGTTCCGTGCCGATTTTCGGCGCCAAGTGCGTCACTGTGGCATCCTTGAGTAGGTTCTTGAACGTCGGGTCGGCCTTCAGTCCTCGGTCCTCGTACGGTAGCACCGGAATGGGGTCGTATTTGGTCGTGGGGTACACACTGCGCAGTTCAGGGTGCTCAAACTCGAAATGCTCCACCTCTTCGTTGAGCGCGTTCTTGATGGGCTTTGGCTTGGTTGCGGGCACCGTTTTCTCCACGGAAGGCGCGGTGGTGGTCGTAGCCACAGTCTGAGAGTCTTGTTGTTGAGGAGCCATTGTTGTTGTCACGGGGTGAATTGGAAAGTGAACAGACCGATGCAGCATCGACACGGAGATTCCGTCATGCTCCACTCAGACCGATGTGCTCATTGCATCGCGGAAAGGGTGAGCCAAGTAGGGTTGCTGAAGGTGGTGGTGACATTGGCGCTCTTGACACTTTTCATTGGTTTCTCCTCGACACGTTTGCCAAGGAATCATTCCAGTCGACGTGTCGATACCATCTGACGAACACGCCAAAACCTAAATCACAACCAGCAAATCACCGCTCGCAACGAACCCACGTGCCACTTCAACATGAACAGGTCGAATCTCTCGTACGCGCCACCAGTACAGGCTGTACTACAGCGTGGAAACTTGCTTGTATCCATATCGCTGCAAATGCCACCGTTTGTGCTGTCGAACTCGATGGAGGAAGGTAAAGTGTAGCGTCGCCGTCTAATCTAATTCCAACAGGATGACAATAATACTATTTTTAAGCGAGCCAAAAAAAATCAGCGTAGTTGCAGAAGTAAAGCATAATGGCGTGGGTGAACCGCACTACGCGTGACAATTGTCCTGGTGGATTGCAGACGAAGGCTAGCACGTCGGTGAACCTTGGTCCTGGGTACTACGAAACCTCGAAATCTCGTCATGTACGGCCGAATGCTGCGGGTTTTGGAGTCGGCGAGAAGCTCGAACGTGGTGCCAATTCTAGTTCGACCCAAGGCTTGACAATGATAACCCCAGGACCTGGAGCGTATACTAATAACCACCAGACGAGTTGGGAGTCACCTACAAAGAGCAAGGCGTCGGCTACGTCGATTTTCCAGTCCAAGTCACAGCGACTTGGTGATGTGAAGCTGCGTCGGGGTTTCAGCACACCAGGACCAGGAACATACACAAAACAAGACTCGTTCGCACAGAAATCCAAACCGTAAGCGATACACTGCATTTCTGGCATGTATTTATCTTTCTTATCTCTCATGTTTTGGTTGATAGACACACAAACCAAGGGAGTCCTTTAGTGAGAACCCCACCATCGAACAACAAGATCCGGTGGACGCGGCTTCCAACTGCTCCGTCCATTCCCACTGTCTCGCAGAGCTTTGGTTATGAACAAGGAGCTTATGGGAAGCTCGTTCGCCACGAGCCAGTCAAAGTAGGTCATACTGGTTGCGGTAATGATACTCTAGGACCCGGAGAGTACGACCCCATGAGAGGTTTGAAGAGCATCAACAAGACTCGTACAACCGATTTCTCTAAAGGTAAAGTGACACGATTCATTGAGCACGAAGTTCGATCAAAAGCAGAGGTCCCAGGTCCTGGGGAGTACAAGAACACTGGAGACGGCACTGCACTCAAAGACCCTGCGAGAATTAATGCTGTTTTCAAGTCTTCTCTTACTCGCGAACAAGCAGCACCCGCCACTACAACGAAAAATGTGCCTGGTCCTGGGGCGTACAACTCGAACCAAACTCACGGATTTGCAAAGGAGACGAAGCCTGAACATCTTCAATTCTTCGGTAGTACGTCGACTCGATTCGAGACTTCGCAACGGTAAGTGGTTTGTTTTTAAGCAGAGGCTTTATCTATTTACTGAGCTCTCGGGTACTTTAGCGATGGACTTTTACCAGGACCAGGAACATACTACAACCCACCATCAGGCACCACGCAGCCACGGTCAGTGTCTGGCAGAAAGAAGGCACCTTTCAGCTCAAAGAAAGAGCGCTTCGAAGCTCCAAAAGAGAGGGATCAGAGTTTAGCAGCACCGGGATCTTACGAGATACCGTCAGCCGTGTCGGAAGTATTGAACAAAGTGGTACGAAACATAGTAGTTTAATTTTTTTTCGGTACTAAAACTTGTTTCTCTGCAGACAAGCCGAGTGACAAACTTTGGCAGCACTACAAAGCGCTTCGATACAATCTCATCCGGAATCAGCCGCGAGACGATCGAGTCCCAGTTGGAGCGCGATATGAACGATCAAGATGTAGAGCGACAAATACAAGAGCAAAACAACAAGAAGCAGCAACAGCCTAAGGCTTCGTCCATGTTCGCTTCGTCTACGAGTCGGCCACATCAAATACAAAAAGCCACGGGCCCCTCACCCGGCGACTATGAGGTTTGCACTACGGGAAACTTGCATTTCGTTGAGCTGGTGCTAACGTGGCTGTGTATTGTAGATTCAACGATCATGGAATGCGTCAGGAGCTCAAGGTGCTTTCAAGTCCGGCATCGACCGATTGAAGGGTAAACCGAGTCCAAACGCTTTTGTCCCCGTACGTGTCAGACTCAATGACTGCGTAGCACAAAACTTCACTTTGTTCACCAACCTTACTAACGTTCACGAAAATAATACAGGGACCCGGGTCGTATTCCACGGAGCGTTTGAAGCAGAAACCGCAGCACAAGGCTCGTCCAAACGTCTTCTACGCTGCAGTGGGTCATTACAATTCACATTTATACCCCACAAAGTCTTATCACTGCTTTTTGTTACAGGAACCTCGATTCAAGGAGAAACGTTCGAAGGTGCCAGTATTGGTACGCTCCGTCACAAGGAAAACTCTATCGACTTCCACTAACCAATATCTTCCACTGCAGGGCCCTGGTCAGTACAACACAGACACAGTCGAATCGGACTGGAATCGCCCCACACACAACATCTCCATTGCCACTGAGATGGAGCTGGCAATGATGCAATAAACCTGTGCCTTGACAAGCAAAAGTGTACCCATATCTTCCGTAAAAATATTTTTTTTCGAAACGGATTTAACTCTCCTGTTAAGTTCGATTTTCCATCCAGCGCTTGGACCTCTAGACGCAAGGAAGTCACATGGGGGACACTGGACGCGGACAATCGGCCTCTTCGGGAGGCGAAGAGCGAGCGAACGCCGTCTCCACGCCGTCTAAACGCACACCAGTTGATGCAGTGGCGTCTAGTGTATCCAACGCACCGTCTGTCGCGCCCAACAGCGCGCTACAACCCACAGAATCGGCGTCTAACCTCGAGGATGTCTCCGCCGCCGATTCTTCGGCTTCTCAGCGACCCCCGCGACCAGAAAACGCGCGTAAACCGTTGAATACACCGCAGAGCAGCTCTTCCGACCGCAAACGCCGCAAAAACGGCACGAATCGAGTCTCCAGCGGCGGTGACACGCCACTCCAGACTCCGCCCGAGGTCCCAGCGACCCCTACGGCGCCGCTGGAGCCCGAGCTCCCGCTACTGTCGGACTCGCAGTGGGAGAAAGAGATCGCGGGCTTTGGTACGGTACTTAACGATGTGCTGCACTGCGTGACGAACCGCGAGCTGGTGACCAAGACGGCCGAGTACATGGCCACGTTCCCGCAACACGCTTTGCGCTTCCAGATCAAGATGAAGCAGGTACTGATAGCCTCTAAAACCACGCCATATTACCTTAAAAAGCCGCTGTCGCCACTAAACCACCACCTCACCCAAAAGCCACACTGCAACGGGAGTCCGACACCCCACTATATGTTAGTTATATTACTTATCATTGCCTGGCTGGTGTCTGACTGTGCTGTGTGTACTGGCGGCGGCGTGCCTAATAGAATAGAGCTCTGTGGCTTTGCATTTCCTCTTGTTGGTCACAAAAAACACAAAAAAACTAACTTTATTATATTTTTTGTGTCTGTCTGCAGCGAGCTTATGCTGACGGAGCGAGAGGATTCCAGGCCAAGTTGATGTTGTTCTACGTCCTGCACGAGTTCCTGAAGTCCTTTGAAGGGGAACGACTGCAACAGATACAACGCGAGTGGTTCCAGACGATCGACGAGGTGCTCAACGCCTGCGCCCGGGAGATCCGCTACGGTGACAAGCGCAACGCCGAGGAGAACCGGAAACGAGTGTTCAAGGTGAGTTGCGTATGCTGTATTGTCTGTAATTGAAGAACTAATGTGGATGTGGTGCAGACTCTGGCTCGCTGGGAAGAACTGAAGCTTTATCCGAGGAAGATCAAGGCCTGGAAGAGTCTGGTGATGGGAGAGTGCAAGCCTCGTAGAGCTCCAGTGCCGCTGCCTCGCAGCGAATCTGAACGACAGGCTGAGGCTCCTGACCAGCTTCAGTCGTTCGAACTGCCGCCTCCAAGCACGCCGCAGCTGCAACTCGACCGCTCCAACAGCCCGCTGGTCTTCGAGCGCCGCAACTTCGACAGCAAACCGGAGGAGAAGCAGCACTGGCGCTACACAGCCATTGCGTTCATCGATATCCTGTCGCAGTGTCTGGGTCTGAGCAGCGACATTGCGCTCACAGCCTGCATCTTCTTCCATCGCGTGTTCGACCGAGGCATTTACGCTCGAGAGAGGTACAAGTTCGCCGCAGCTTGTCTGTTCCTGTCGGCGAAGGCTTCCAGCAAGCGGATGAAGTTGCTACGTATGGTGAGAGTCATGTACGACATCTTGGAGACGCCGCTGTTCGCTGGTGATGAAGAATTGCTGGAGATTGAGCGTTTACAGCTGCTCTTCTACGAGATGGAAGTGCTGCAAGGCATCAACTTCGAGCTGACCACAGAGATGCCCTTCTACTATCTCCGTCGAGTGCTGGAGAAGATGCCGGACAAGTGTATGTGCCTGTTGCTGCTTAGTTGGTCGTGTAGTAGAATGACTGACAGTAGTGTGTTACCTGCAGTCCGAGACTCCATTAGTGATGACGCGCAGACAGTTCTCGAAGAATTGTGCGTGTGATGAGGAGATTTTGTGGGGTTTGAAGCTGGTTTTGCGGCGACTAACGCTTGTGTTTTATAGGTTCTTCCTGCCAGTTTGTGTAGACATCTCTCCCCAGTTACTTGGTGAGGCGGCGGCGTACATCGCAACGTGGAACAAAGGCAAAGACTTCAAGTTTAAGTGGTGTAGTCCGGGCGAAGAAGGTCACGCTTTCAACGAGCGGACAGCGAGTACGTTCATCATATTTCTAGTCGCACACCTCTTCTTCTCTAACCTTTTTTGTTCTGTGTTATTGTAGGAGACGCACTGCGAAGTTACCGAGCGCTTCAGAGATGGAAGAAAAGTCAACAGGCAGAGTTTGATGCGTTGGTAAAGTCAGCAAGTGGCTTAGAAGGTGACGAGGCTACAAAACTGAAGCTGGCGTTCAAGTCTCAACTGGGCGGTCTACGTCTGGACCCCTCGACTATCCTGAACGAAGCAGAATTTACCAAAAAGACAGAGGAAGACTCCAAAGAATGGGCTAGAACTAGCAGGAAGAACGGCAGCGACAATCGATCAAGACGTGGCAACAACTCAAGGACATACAGAGACGACAATGAGCCACGGATCAAGGTGGAAAAATCTCAAGTCAGCAGTCGGGAGGAAGACTACCGATATGATCGGGACCGCTATCGAGCACGTAGTCGCAGTCGCAGCGGTAGCGGCTCGCGTTACGCAAGGGGAAGAGAATCCACAGCCAAGTACGAACGTAGTGGAGATCGTCGCGATCGGTACGACTACGACGACTACGACGACAGTGATCGGTATCGGGAACGTAGACATGATGACAAGTACAGCTCCTCTCGTGACAGATCTTCCAACTACGACCGAGACGAACGGGGCTACGATCGTCACGGCACTCGAGACGTCGACTACTATCGAGATCCGTCCTATTTCGACCGTCGGGAGCGGAAATCCGATCGCAACGGCCATCGAGAACGTGGCAGTCGTAGCAACAGTCGAAGCAGAAGTCGGTCTCGAAGTCCGCGGGAGTCCTCAAGGGTCAGGAAACGCAAGCGAAACTACAGCAGTCGCGGTCGTTCGGACAGTCGAAGTCGGAGCTCAAGCCGAAGCCACAGTCGAGACCGCAGCTACTACTACCGAGCAGAGGACCCGTCTCCGTCGTCTAGAAGTGGGAGAACCAATAAGAACAAGTATGGCACGGCTCGTTCCAGTCACCGAGACTCAGAACGACCGCGCATCAAGCAAGAGCGCAGCGCAGCTTAAGTTGCATCGACGAGGGTGAGCGCACCTACATATATTCTGCATAAGTTTACCTTTGGTTAAGAAAAAAAAATGTACTAATTGATTAGTGTACTAACTTTTGTGTTTTGTATCTGTTATCTGCAGTGTCGCTAAACAACCGAGTAATATCCTGGAAACGTTGAATTAAGAACGCGTTGGAGGAGTTTGAGAATACTGATGCAGATACAATAACGACACGAACGGCCGAGAGTTCCTGGTTGCAGCTGGAAGGCAGAGTGCGCCGCTACATATTTTGCATGGATTGCATCGATAAGAGGGAGGCAACTTGCTTCTTGTTAGTGCATTGCATTTTTTTTTAATTCTTTGTGGATTCTTGTCAGCTTACTCTTGGTCTGTGTCTGTGAATGTTTATCTGTAGATGTTGCCAATTGCAAGTAAATACCCAAGGACGAAGAGAGTACAAGTATAATGAAGAATATGGTAAAGTGATAGCAAGGTAATGTGGTAAAACGAATTGATAAAGTTGCCTCAAGGTAGCAAAGAACCCTGAGCACATCGAATATTGTGCGCTAATACTAGGTTGCACGTTGGTAATATGCATCAAGCTCAAGCTGGCCGACGGAGTTCGGCTTACTTGTAGTACGAGCCCGAGAGCGAGCTCCAACCCGACGTCTGCTTGCCCACAGCACAGGCGATACGAGGAGTGACTTTGCCGCACACAGCGTGGAGGATCATATTCCACTCGGGCGTGTTTTCCTCCGGCAGCGGGTAGTTGAGGTCGAAGTACTCTTCGCTCACCTTCTTGCTGTCGTCCAGCTTGAAGTCTCCAAACTTGCCAGCCAGATCGCCCTTCTCGCAGACCAGTGGGTCTCTGGCGTATTCGTCCGGATTGCAGTTGTATTCCGGTTTCTTGAGTAAACATTCTTCCGTGCCGACGAACTCCGAGTTGGGGCCACACGCCTTGAGCGGGTCGTAGTGGTTTCCCGTGATCGCCAGTCCGCACTGCTCGAAGGACTCGGAGTCGTAGTCGTGCGGCCACTTGACGTGGATGTGCCACTTGTACTCGGTCACCTCCTCGGTGCAGTTGCCGTCGAACGCCATGATCTCGCTTTGATCCACGTCGCCGAAGTCCAGATCGGCTGATATCACGGCGAACGTGGAGAATGGACCGCCATATTGCACGTTAATGGTGCCACTAACGCCGGCCGAGTACTCCGGGTCGAACGTGTACGTGTACGCCGGCAGCGCGCTGTAGTCGAAGCTACCGCTACCGTAGCTGGTACCTTCGTCAGTGTAGCTACTGCCTTCGTCAGTGTAGGTACTGCCTTCGTCAGTGTAGCTACTGCCTTCGTCAGTGTAGGTGCTGCCTTGGTCGTAGTCGTCGGTGGTGTAGTCGTCAGCAGCCGCAAGCGTCGCTAGAGCGAAGACAGTGAGGATCTTGGAGCTCAGCATCTGGAGTCTTGGGGTGGAAAGTTGCTGCTTGGTGCGAGGCAAATTGAGGAATGAGGAATATGAAGGTGGCCATTTTGCGAGGGGTGGCAACAGGTTAGACACTGAAATCAGGAGCCTCCACAAAAGCGTATCCTTTGGCGTTAAACAGGATTTTCGGCTGTTCGTCTCTGGAAAAAAAAGTCATTATGAGACGAAGAGACACAAGGTTACTGACTGAACCCATTTGAACTTGTGTATATGACTCATGATTACTTTGCTCGTTTATGCTTCAAGTAGTGTGTCCGAAGGTGGATTCCCAGGCCTCCTCCACTAGAAACGCACCCACTCGCTCGCAAAAGCGCTTGTCGACTTTGCTGTATGATGCAACCTCGCTTGGGATCGGCATGCCGTTGAAATTGACACCATCAACCTCCAGGAGGTTGCGTCTCCACTAGCAATGTGCTTACCGGCCACCTTCGACGTGTACCCCTCGAAACTCGTCCGAATCTTAAACGTACTCGTTATCGTACCAAACTGAACAGCATACAACGACTTTAGCCAAAGACAAAGGCTACAAAGTAAATCGTACCGACTGGTCAACGAACGGCCCGCTTTGTACCCCCATAGCCGCCACAGCTGAAGAACCGCCACTACGCGTCAGCAGCCATTCCCAACCCAAATTGCAGTATCGATGTGTGTTGCATCTCCAGGATAAAACTTGCCTTCAGTCGGATTATACTGAGCATCTGAGGACCAAAGCCAATTCTCCTGCTAGAACCCTGCATTTCCTCGTCACAGTTGCCAGTCCACGAACGTAGATTCGTCAGCGGAGTCTGTCTCGAAGCCCCAAAATCGCATTGCTGCTGTTTGGTCTTCGCTACTTCTAGACATCAATCGCAGGTAAAGTTGAAGTTGCCCTTTTGGTCCCAGGTGATCGTCAGCCGCTTTTGCTATTGACTCAGAGATCTGTGCGCTGCTGCTTATCAATGGCCACCAACAAGACCGTCATCACCTACACACAGATTTTAACGCCTTTCGCCAACCCAAACACTCTCGCGGCAAGAAGCGCTCAACCCAAGCTGCTAACGTTACAAACTCGTCGATTGTCAAGTCGGAGCTCAAATCAGACCAAATTTGGTCGAGTATGGATCAGACCAGAACTCCGTCTGGGACGGCATCGCCGAGTAACTGAGCACGTACAACAGCAGCAGCAAAGTTAAAAGAGAGCATGGAGTTCGCGGATATGTCGTTGGGTCCACTGCAGTTTGGATACCCAAAAAACTAAAATGACACATTTTTTTTACTCTTTTGGAACAACTTGTTTTGCCAGTATTGAATCACAGTTGTCAATACAGCAGTGCAAAAAAAAATTATGCATTGTCCTCTATGCAGAGCAGAAGTTTCCAAACTGCAAACAATACCCACAACTACTTTCAATACATTCCACCTCAAGCGACTCGCTGGTAACAATAATTAGTGTGAGGGCATGAGGCAGTTAGGATCCGATTTCCCGCCAAAACATATCCTCTATCTCATTGGCGGATTCAACGTTTTCTGTATCTTTCATTGGTCAAAATCCCGCCCGACTTTATTTCCCGCGTCTTTTCCCGCGCCATAATTCCAGTCCCGCGCCATCTCCTCATTGAAGCCGTCGCCGTGCGCAGACGACAGACTGCGCGACTTTTTTTGCAGTCCCATCGCCGTGAGAACCACCGCTAGAGGCCATGGGCGTGTCCAGCCCGAAGCGCGCGGAACGGAGCGACGCAGCGGGCTCAGAGTCCGACGTACAGACCACAGACAGACCACAGAATGCCACAGAGACCGCAGAGACGCAGCCAGAGCCAGAGCCGGAGATGGAGATGAAGCAGCAGCAGGCACAGACACCGGACGAGGCGCTCAGCGTCATTTCCAGCGACGTGTCGCCTCATGATAGCGATTTCGACTTCTTACAGCTCAATTCGGACAGTGAACTCTCGCTCCTCACGCCGTCTCCTCATCGCCGCAGCTTTGCAGGTCGCTCTCTGGACGTGGAGATGGTAGCAGGACCTCTAGCGTCCCCACCGTTGTCATCACGGTCCAGCATCGCGTGTTCTCCTTCAAGATTCTTTAAATCGCCACTGGTGACGAGTAATAGACCCACAGGGAAGGAGAAACGAACCGTAAAAACGCCGCAGCGACGCTCTATTGTGCCTATTAGAGTGGCGACGCCCAAGAGATTGCAGGAGGCTATTGATTCTCTCAATGAACAGGAAGATAAGGAGCCTCCAGCTGATAAAGTGAAGAGTAAGAGGAAGATTTCGGCCTCTGCAACGCCTCCACGGACTCCATCGCCATCTTCAAGGCAAGAGCTGCTCTCTCGACGACTTAAGGATGTATTTGACCGCATAGACGATGGTGGGATCGTTCGAGGAGCAATGAAGTCAGCAGCTACTGACAGACAAGTGGATACTGCGTCCTCAATGCTCGATGCGGACGACATTCAGTGCGCCCCCAGTGGCCTCACGACCAGTCCAAGTGAGCACGACTCCTTCTTCTCCTTCGCCAACTCTCTCTCTCCACTCATGCCAGCCGAGGAGTTCGAGAACAGCTTCATGTCCGTGAGACTATCGCCTCTCGTGTCGCTCTCGTCCTACGAACTGCCCAAATTGTACGTCAACTGGGTCCTTACCTTATTTGCTTCTTGTCGTGCGATCTAATCAGTTGCATATCCTTGCGTTGTACAGACTCCCACCATTCCCAGACGAACGTGACAACAAAGAGACGAGTCCATCCACAGGCGTCCACGACGGCATTCCATTGATTCTCCAGACACCGAAGAACAGAGCAAAGAACAGTCGAGGCCTCTCATCGGCCGGATCATTAGCAGGAGGCGGCATTTCAGCCCCCGGTTCTGCCAATGGAATGGTCTCTCCCAATCTGTTCAGTGAATCCTTCCCGAACATTCAGGCATCGACTAGCGCAACGCCAGGCAAAGACGAACGGTCAAAGCTCGGTGGTCACAGTGTCATGAAGATGAAGCTCCACACGTCATTCGGTGACTCTCCGTCGCTGCTGGACTCACATCATTCTCGCGAGATCCAAGCCATCAACAACAGCTTGTAAGTCTGTCACGTTGGATCGGAGACTGGACGTATGACTAACCTCTTGTGTTTAACTTATAGGAAGCGGAAGAAGTACATTCGTCGTCGTAAAGTTGAGGAGAAGCGACAACAGGCTTCGTCTTCGAGCAATGTGCAGCGCAAATTGCTGCAAACACCAGTCAAGATAGCTGCTTCCCCGCGTACTACTCGATCACCGCTGCGTCCTTGGAACGGACAAACGCCTGATGTTAATCAGGTCAAGACTCCAACACCTCGAAAACTCGCTCCAAGCCAACAAAGCAGAAGAGCTGATAGTGTGAAGGATACGCCGCTATCTCCACCAATAGCGCGCAGATTAATCCCAGCGACGGAGCCAACACCAGCACCAGCTACTCCCGTCAACAAGAAGAAGCGGAAAGCATCACAGTGCGTCTCGATGCCTTCTGCGATGGCCAACATATCAGGATTCAAGGTACGCAAGTCTCCACTGGGCGTTCGACAGGCAGTAGCTCTTGCTATCACACCTGCCAAGCAAATCAAGCGAGAAGCAGCAGCTCTGAGCAAGTACACCATGCTGACGCCGCAGTTAACTCCAGGTAGCTCCGTGTCTTCATTCGACAGCAGTTTGCTGAAAACGCCTACGCCTATAGGAGCATCGACGCCCCTGACGATGTCGTTGCAGTCAGCGTCCAAAGCGCCACTAGGTCCCGCAGTCATGATGATTTCAGCTCAAGTTCCCAAGAAGGCTCCGTGCAACTGCAAGAAGTCCAAGTGTCTTAAACTCTACTGTGAGTGCTTTGCCAGTGGAGGATACTGCGACGAAAGCTGCAATTGTCTTGACTGCGCCAACACGACGGCAACAGAGGAAGTTCGACAACAAGCCATCGCGTCAAGACTGGAGAAGAACCCGAATGCGTTCAAGCCGAAGATCGGAGCTACATCTACCGTGGTCACAGTGACGCCAGGAGCTCGGAGGTTGTCGGTCGGGAGGCGCGTTTCAGCTGGAGCTTTCGTGTCACCACCAGGTCAATTGAGTCTCCAGCGACAGCAGATCTTGAATGCAGGCATGTCGACCACCAAGATGCACAAGCACGGATGTCATTGCAAGAAATCAGCGTGTCAAAAGAAGTACTGCGAGTGCTTCCAGGCCGGTGTACCTTGTGGAGAAAACTGCCGATGCATTGTACGTAGAACCTAGATGGACTACGTTACTTGGGGCATTCTAGCTAATCTTTATTTTTTTTTTCGCTACAGGACTGTAAGAACCAGACACGGTGTGTGGCTCATGCGAATGGTGTAGCAACTGCGGGATCAGTTGTAAGCGGCACTCCATCTAGCGAACTTGATGAGACCTTTGTATCGCCAGTTCTTCAGGGTGTCCGCAAGCGGATGCGTATCGATCGTGAGACTTGGAAGAAGGACTTTTCTTCACCATTTGAGGCCTCTCCAGGACGTGAACGGCTATTGCAGTCGAGGCTACTTGCATCCAGAAGTGTCGGTGGAACTCCGAGCGTTCGGGTGAGGGCAATGCCGTTCACTTCACCATCTACGCCTCAAGTTACGAGTCGAACTGGTGCCAAACGAGCCCGTAAGATGTCACCGATCAGAGGAGAAGATGACGAACAGCGAAGTGGCACGTTATTGTTGAAGGTACGAGAGTTAAAGCAGTTTGCTTTTGACAAGACAAGCACCAGCGTTGGGAAAGCTGCGCTGTCAGCTGTCGTTCGATCAACGAGTGGAGCCGAACGCGTCTACGTGTTGCCATTGTTTGGATCAAGCCTCCCTCCTATAGAGAGCGGCGTCAGTGCCAAAATCTTCCGCTTCCTCACGAATGCTGACCTGCACAACGCGAGCTTAGTGAGTCACCTCTGGAACCAATTTGCACTTGGCGACACTGTCTGGGATCACGCCAACTTGATCCCAACAGAAGCGAGCGTCAATACCGCTCTCCGTTCACGACAAATGACACTGAAAACGCCTGTGGAGTGCGAATCGACGACAATCAAGTGTGAGCCGAACCTTGCAGTGCTCTCGGCTCTGAGGTAAGTACAGGATTAGGAAAACAGTGAGGATAATTATGAGCTTGTAGTAGGATAGTAACACAGATAGGAATTTTATTAGTCGCGCAGACAAGCAGCGAGCCAAGTGAAAATGTGTTGAAGACGTCTGGTATTGTGTCTTAAGCTCATGGTGACAGCTTGGGCATGCGGCGTGGATTGTCCAGCGAAATGTGCTGCATGCGGACAGCGCCCAAGATGACTTCAGGCAGCTCTTCGTCGGTCTGGGCTTCGAGCAGGAAGGCCAAGTCCACCACCAGCGACTTGGTCACGCCTTGCACCATCCCCACCACCGTGTTGGCAACCGAGTTGGACGAGATGTCGATGTCCACTTCAAAGTAGTTTTCTCCACGATGATACGGACACTTCAGCTTGTTGCCGAGTAGAGTGGGCTTGGAACCGACCGACTGTTTGATGATGAAGCTTCCCTCTACGACCGTAGGAATCAACTTGAAGCGCGAGTTCCGGAACTGGTCGTCGCCGTCGAAGAAGTCGTTCAGCAGCTCGGAGAAGCCCGAGCCGTCCTCGAACACATTGTCACGCACTGGCTGGAAGTAGAAGACCATGCAGACGTTCTCTGGGCCAGGGATGATCATGTTCACTACGAACGTGAACTTGGAGCTGGTGCGACCGATACTGTCCGGTCGAGACGAGATGTTGTACCTCTCAGCTGGACTCTCGAACGACAAGAGATCCACACCCACAGTGTGGAACATCGCAGGCGCTGACGGGATCTTCTTCTTGTCGGTCAAGTAGTTATGCCCACGAACACTGAAGAGCGAAGCGTCCGGCTCGCCCCACATCTTCTCGGGAAGACTGGTCTGCAGCTTCTGTACGCCCATAACGACACCCATCGAGTCCACACTGGTACGCTGAGTGAACGCATTCTCCTCCGGTCCAGTCTCCGAGCTTTCATTCTCTGCAGGAGCCATTGATACATTGGGCGTGATGAAGTCCGTAGCGCTCATTTCGTCCCGAATCCCCACGACACTACGCAGCATCGGCATCACGAGATCCACATCCATTCCGAGCTGATGGTAGATACGGGACCAGCCTCCAGGATCGTAACGTAGCACGTAGGTAACCAGAGTACGGATAGATCCACTGGGAACACGCTGAGGAGCGATGACGAAGCCGCCGCCCAGCAAGTTCGCACGCACATAATTGTGACGTACACGGCACTCGGGATGCTCGATACTCTGGTACATGACAAAGTACGACCCATCCTCTTCGCGTCTCCAGTAGCGCATGAGCACAAGGTCTCGAGCTTTCTGCCACAATGGCCACAAGTGCGTCGGTCGCTGCGTAATGTACACGATGTCCGCGTGGTCGTCCAGCTGCTGGATCACGCGCATAGTCGCCGTGGCCGAGTCCCATCTCTGGAATCTCTTGGAGTTCATGATGAGTCTGAAGACTTCAGTCGGGGAGCCATGCACCACCTGGGACACACGGAAGCTCGGGATCTCAGGAGCCTGTGTGGGCGTCACTGCAGCGCAGCACACAGCAATAGCCACTAGCGCAGTCATAAAGCTCAGCAACATGTTGTTCGCGAACGAATACATGCTGCTGAAACTCAGCGCTGCGCCCACACATGCACTGAAGATCAGTCCGTTGGTTGTCGCTGCGTGTTGAGCGTACAGATTGGCCGCAACGTTGGGTCCGAGAGGACATTCCTGCATGATTCTGAGCCCTCCTTCCACTCTGGCTAGCCACCAGGCCTGCTCTGCCTTGACGTTGTCTGCGTCCAGATTAAAGAGCGACATCGTGTCTTCATCGGCCTTCAACATCCTCGGCACGTGGGTGGGCGTGGGGAAGATCTCGGCGTCGTTCTTGAGCTTCTTTTGGTGCGCTACGAGCTCCTGCAGCGACCGCACGGCGTTCTCCAGCGCGCGTTTCCATTCCTTGGCGTTCTCCTCGCTCTTGGCTCCTAGATCCAGGAATCGGTCCTTCTTGTACGACTTTTCTCCGCTCACGGCGTCGCCCAATGCGAAAGTGATGCGGAACATCCAGACGGGTCCGTGATGTTTGTGTTTCTCCTCGGAATTGAACACGGGACTCACTACGCAACCGTCAGTCAGAATGTAGGTCCCTCGAGGTGCAGGGTCGCCGCGTTTGCGGTAGTAGCGGAGCTGGTTGCCGTCCAGGAGGAAGTAGCGATCCACTGTAACATGACACAAATTATGACACATGGTTTATGAGTCTTCTACTGGGAGTTCTGGGTTGGGAATTGCATGGTTGAATAGAGCGTACGCCAGATGAGATTCATGTGGTCGCGGCGCTTGGTGAGCCAGCCCTCCATCGTCCCGAGCGGCGTAGACAGCGAGGAATGAGATGGTGTCTCTACGTGGCGGATTTGCGACTGACGGCTCGGATTAGAGCGGATTTGGGACATTTTGGTCCGCTGGACGTAATACACAGCTGCGATTGGCTGGATTTTGGACATAAAAAATACATGAAACCTCCGCCGTGTTCAGATTGTGACAGCACATTTCGACACAAACGCAATTGACGTGATGACAACTTGTTCAAATTGAGCTCTTAGTCCTACACAAATGAACGCAATGCATCGTAGTGTAGCGTACTTGGGTCAAGCGCCTTAGAAGCCCATCCAGCCCGTGTACCAGCGGTTCTTGAACTTGTAGGCGTTCGTCATCTGGCGATACATGAACACGAAGCCCACAGCGCAGCCCACGATGGACAGATAGCGCACAGCAGGGTTGCGTACGTACAGCGCCCACTGCGAGAGTAGGATCATGAAGACGGCAGCAGCCACGTCGTAGCCGCCGACAATGAGCCCTTCGTAGACGAACTGCTGGCGACCCTGAGGGTGGAAGTACTGGATGTTGCCCTTGCGGTCGGCCGTGTAGGGAGGCGGGTTGCGGATGATGCAGTATACCATACCTGACACAGAGAGGCCGTAGAACAGCAGCGAGACTGTCATCCAGAGCTGTTTGCGACGCAGTTTGGCCATCACAAAGTCCAGATGGGACAGCACCAGTTTCGCCGTCAAAGCAGTGGACGCTAGTGCCACAACTAGCAGCACGTAGAGGAACGTCTTGGATCTCTGGACAGCGAACTCGAAGCCCGTACGTTGCTTGACAAAAGTGGCCATAGACTCGGCCTCCTTGCCCTGTGAGTAGACGTTGTAGAGGTTCTGCGGCTCCACTTTGGCCTTCTTTGGCATGCGGTCGCCCGCGTCAATGGAGCGGTCGGGCGCCACGTACACCACGTGAGGAGCAGACGTGAACTCGTACATACCGAAGGCCTCCTGGTTGGTCTCAAAGTCCACGACACCGAAGAAAACCTCGAGTCCATCGCGCGTGTCCACTTTGACCTGCTTGGCAGCTTCGTAACTCTCGCCCAGCGTCTCAAACTCAGGCGCCACTTGCGCACACGTCTCGCATTTGTACTTGGCAGCAGTGGCTGTGAACAGCAGCACCAGGTGGTACGGACGGTCCGGTCGCACAGCGTAGCGTCCGAAGAGTTCGCTCGTGAAGGGGATCACACCGTCACGCACGCGACCCTGCAGCTGTACCAGCTTCTCGCTGCCCTTGAGCGGCGCGTCCTTGCCCTTGCGGCTCTTCTTGGCTTCGACGTCCCCTCCGGACCAGCTCACGACCACCAGCAGCGTCGCCAGCAGCGCCAGCAAGCGCATCGTTCCCCGCGCCATCGTCACTCGAACTCGCCACGTGGAAGATCGAAAATGAAGAGCAAAACAAGCATCTAGCAGTTGTACTCCGCGATTTCCACCAATCAAAGGGCGTCAAATCATCTTTGTCCGCTGATAGGTGTCGAGTAGCGATAGTGCACCGCGTTTACAGGACATTTGTTGTCGGACATAATTTCAAATTTTCAGCGAATCAGAAGCATGATACTTTGTGTTCCTTACACAATTGCGATTGAAGACACGATTTGGGTCATTTTGATACCGCACACGTGGAGCAACTAGTCACATGGCGGCCCCGACGGCGGAGGAGAGCGCGCGGCGCTTCAAGATGGTCTACGTGGGCGCGTCTTTGGTGGCCATGCTCATTTCCACATACACGACGCTGTACGGGCCTATGGAGCTCTCAGCGTCCACATCCGCTCCTCTAAACGCCCGATCACTGGACCAATTGACGCATTCCAACTCTGAGAGTCGCTTCAGGTGGGGCACATATCGTCCCGGTTTATATTTGGGCCTTCGGTCCCGCACTGCGCCCGAATTTGTGTCGGCAGGACTATTATGGGGGTCACAACTTGAAGACGTATCACAAATCCGCCACCAATGTCGCCAAGAAGACCGGCTTCAACGCTACGGCTGGCTGCAGCACGACGGGACCAATTTTGGTCTGCAAAAAGTGGAGGACCAATTCAACCGCCTGGAGCTCAGCACAAGCTACGCTCGCATACAGACTGAAGAGGTCCAGGGATGGGCTGCCAGAGTGCAGGCAGCTCCATTGACGCCCAAGGACGAGAGACTGAGCCGTCGACAGGTGCAGAACAACAAGATTTCACTCTATTTCTACGTAGATTTAGGCTGCGGAGACGAGAGTCTGGAGCTGCAATGTCGACAGAAGCTTCAGAACTTAATAGAAGTCACAGCAGAGCCCACGACGCTGCAGTGCGGAGAGCAGAGCGAACAGTGTGTGCAGATGGTGCTGGAGAGTGAAGGTCCTGAAGGCTACAAGGATACAGCGCCCCTGAGCTTCCAGATACAAGTTCAACTGAAGACCCGCTCGTCTGTGCGTGGCGTGGAGCTGCACTTTGCTGGTCTCAAAGACACCAATGTGGTCAACGTGAAGGACAAGCTGGTGTCGTTGGCTCGACGTCCTGGTGGAGAGAGCAATAAGGACTTGAAGACCGACAAGGAGATTCAACTGGAGAATTTCATTGAAGAAGGAAGCACGCTGGTTGTGGTGCAGGCTATTGTGAGTGTGGATGATACGTTCAAGGCAGGCGACGTGACGCTGGATGTGTTGTTTAATGAAGCTGCGTCGCCTAGTGACATCGTGAAGACTCCTATTGACTCTCTCATTACTGGGAAACTGGCTGAGTACTCGCAGCAGTTCGACGATAAATTCGAGGAAACTTTCCACCTCTCAACGAAGACGTGGCCGGAGGATGGCATGGAGACCCCGTTCAACGAGAGTCTGGTGACGTTTGCAAAGGCGGCGTTCAGCAACTTAATTGGAGGCACAGGCTACTTCTACGGCAGCTCGTTAGTGCAGCATGATCCGGAGAAGCCAGAGGTTGTCGAATCACCTGTCAAGCCTCTGTTCACAGCTGTTCCTTCGCGCTCTTTCTTCCCTCGTGGCTTCGTATGGGACGAAGGTTTCCACCAGATCGGCATCTCGGCGTTCGACGACAGTATTACGCGTGACGTGATTGCTCACTGGCTTAATTTGATGGAAGAAGATGGCTACATCGCTCGTGAACAGATCCTGGGTCAAGATGCGCGTCGTCGTGTGCCCAGAGAGTTCCTCGTACAGCACGTGGAACACGCTAACCCTCCCACTTTGCTGTTAGCTTTGGAGAAAATGATGCTGTGGCACAAGAACGCTGCCTCGGATCAAGATCTGAAGACGTTTATGCGTACCATCTTCCCGTTTCTGAAGCGCTGGTACAGCTGGTTCTTGAAGACTCAGTACGGCCCTCACGACGCGAGTTTCCGGTGGCGTGGACGCCTCCCAAATGACGGCAAGCTTATCTCCAACACACTCTCATCAGGTCTAGACGACTACCCTCGTGCGTCGCGCCCAAGTGAGAAGGAAATGCACGTGGACTTGTTGTCGTGGATGATCCGCTCGAGTAACGTCATGGCCAAGCTTGCAGAATTTATCGATCAGGACGCTGACGTTCAGCTCTTTCAGTCGAACAGTGAACACTTTTACAGCGGTCTGGACCAACACCATTGGAACGAGGAAGCGCAGTCGTACTTTGACGTGGGGGAACATAGTGAAGATGGCGTGATTGAGTACCAAGTTGCTGTGCGCTGTCGCAACGAACAGGGCCAAGTGGTTGACGCTACGGCTCCAATTGCGCACATAGAGACCAAGCAAGTCCAGTGTCCGGCCAGCCACCCCAACTTCATGTTCCCGCTCGGTGACGGTCGTGGTGGACTGCAGATGCTCCCAGTGTTTGTCCCGCGTAGTACGACACTGCAGCATGTCAAACACATCGGCTACGTCAGTGTCTTCCCGCTGCTCTTGAAGGTTCTCCCACCGGACTCGCCCAAGTTACTGGCATTGCTAAAGCAGATCACGGACCCAGCGCAGCTTTGGTCACCGTTCGGACTGCGCTCTTTGTCGACGCAGGACCAGTTTTATGAGCAGGAGAACGCACCTGGAGACAACCCGTACTGGCGTGGAGCTATCTGGATGAACGCGAATTATCTGGCTTTAGACGCACTGCACCACTACGCGCAACCGAGTACGGGCAGTCCGTTCCAGGCGGAGTTTGCAACGGCGTATTCTGCACTGCGAGCGAACGTGATCGCCAATATCTACCGTGAGTATGAACGTACTGGATACTTGTGGGAGCAGTACAGCGGCGATATCCACGCCGGAAAGAAGTATGGCCAAGGGCAGAGGTGCCACCCTTTCTCGGGCTGGACAGCGCTTGTGGTGAACATCATGGCGGAGATTTACTAGCGGACAAGTTGTGATGAATAGCTTATCATGAACATGAATGGGTGTGAAGGTCGATGCGCACTTATAAATGTAGTTGCTGTTTGTTGGTTAATTGACGTGGTTACTGTAGTTTTTTTTTTTTTTTTTTTACATATAGCGTTTTACTTTGCGAACACCATCGGATACGATATTTTACACGAGATAGTTGGCAGGACATGACAGCGGGTCCCAGTCATCCGGTTGTTCAATTCTTGACATTGGTCGGACAAAGCGCCGAGTGTACTTTGGAACACCAATAGGGCCCGTGGCGTCGAACGTGATCTGCGCATTAGCAGTTGCAAGAGCAAACGCAATGAGGATGCAGTGGTAGGACGCACCGTGGTGCCAGTTCAATGTAAGGTCGTTCAGGTATTCTCGATCGATGTATGTGCTGCTATAGTACCACCACGCCAATGCCACCAATAGCCCAAGCAGTGCGCTGGTGTACGTTGACAACGCATAGCAAGCCGCGGCGTTGCGAGTGACGAGCATGAGACTGACAGTCGTAAAGAACCCCCATAGCGTCATGGTGTACTTGACGGTCTCCAGTACTACGAGACATGCCACATTTTGTGCACCTTGCATGTACCAAGTGAGTTCCCCACGTGTGTGGCACCAACAAGACAGAGCTTCAGTGACAACGAAGTCTTGAGTGCTGGGTTTGTCGCTTTCTCGATGTGATGGGACTGCGAGAGCGTCGGGTTTTCCACTTGGCCAGTCATCAGGCTGTCGAGAGTTGTTGAGGATGGCGTGTAAGAACGGCTGACACTTGGAGCTGCCATTGCTGAGTCGCAAGCAGTAACCATCGGGTGCGAATGTGAGCTGGTTCACAGTGTTTTCATTGCTGGTTGAAGGTTTGTCGAGGCTCTGGAACTCGATGACCGCCCATGACTGCAGATGCACAGCAACGATCACCAGCACCAGGACTGCAATTTGCAATACGAACTGGAGCATCTGTAGACTTTGCAACATGACTAGATGATTGTATTATATGTCGACAGCGGCGACGATCAGGCAATGACAACAAAAAGGCAACTTCCAACTGAAATGTGTCCATCTCCCGCATATCAAGACGCCAGCCAATCACCGTCGAGGACGCTAGCAAATGGCTGCATGTACTTGAAGCTCTTCCGCCAGCGATACCACACGCTAGAAGAGCAACAACAAGCAGGAAGAGCAACAATGAGCAAGAAGAGCAATGTTTTTCGGTCAGCAGGTCGTACTGTTGCGTCAATTCACTTGACTGACTGGTAAGAGGAAGTTTTCAAAATAGGTGATAGATAACGTTGAAGATGGCTTATTTGGAACCCACTTTGGTCTCCATTTCCGAACCCTCCGCGTCTGCAGCGCTTCTAGTACTCATGGCGTCCTCTTCTAGTTGTCATTTCGGCTGCTTGGAGATCTTTAACCCCGTATGCGCCTCCAATGGCCAGACCTTCGGCAATGCATGCGAGTTCAACCGGACAAAATGCGCGTCTGGAAATGACACACTCGTGATCGTGTCACATGGAGCATGTAGCAGTGGAAATGGCAGTGGAAGTCGAAGTGAAGACGCTTGTCTGCAAGAATTCGCGTGTCTGGACGTGTACACGCCCGTGTGCGGCTCCGACCAACAGACCTACAGCAACGAGTGCTTTTTGAGACGAGCGCAATGTTTCAATGGGTCATTAACGTTGGTACATGACGAAGAATGCAACAGTTCTACGATCAATGCAGACGAAGACTTTGCGAGCTCTACGTCTGGCTCAGGAATCTGCACCGAGAGCGTCTGCACGAAGGAATTTCGTCCTCTCTGCGGCTCGGATGGCGTCACGTACAGCAACGAGTGCCTCTTTCGGAACGCTCAGTGCGTCAATACGTCCCTCACACTTGCGTTCGAAGGAGAATGCAGCACCTCGGCGACATCTTCAGCGTCCGGCGCTGAGCCAGGGCCCGTCGTGGGGTCAGACGCCTCTACCAGCTCCCAGTCAGCCTCATCAGAGACCGATAGTGCCGATATCTCGCGCAAGAGCTCTACGCTGATCTCCATCATGGCTGTATTACTAGCTGTACTCACGTTGTAGCTGCATTACTAGTGCTTTAAGTATCAATTCCAGCTCCATTCGACGCTATGAATGCTGTGGTGACCGTTCAAAGGCTAAAACTGCCACTTGCCAACCGTTCCAGAGTTTGAATGTCTTCGCGTAAGCCTCGTAAGGGCTCTGCATGGGCTCCAGACTCTACCGAGGCACTTTTCGACGACGGTATCAGCGATGATCATAGTCGAGAGCGGTGGAAGCGAGCCTTGCAGACCCAAGAAGAGGAGCAGACTCTGCTGCATCGCACCGTCGTGGCCTCCAAGCGACAAAACCTCGAGCTGCAGTATGAACGAGTACGTGTGCGTGCAGCCTACTCTTGATACTTAGCCTTTAACCTGTTCGTTGTCAGTTTGCCAAACAGCGAGCATTTATCCGCCGAGAGAAGCGCAAACTGTTGCTTCAACATGCTCTGCTGGCTTCTGAGCGCGAACGCTTCGACGCTTCCCGTTCGTCTGACTGGTTTTGTCTCGCCTCGTTCCCTGCAGCTTCTGATCGCCGTGTGACTGTCGATGTCGGTGGGCAGCTCTTCGAGCTCTCAGCTGCAGTGGCATTGAAAGACTCAGCGTCGTTGCTCGCTGCTTTCGTCCAGGACGACTCACCTCTTACTGCATCTGAAAATGGCTGCTTCCGCGTGGATCGAGACTGGAGACTATTTCGACACATTTTACGCTTCCTACGCGACGGAATCTTGCCGTCCGACCCAAAACTACTACGTGACTTGTACGTCGAGAGCGAGTTCTGGCGCTTTGAGTCCTTGTTGAAGGCCATAGAAACCAAGAACTTGGAGCTGTGGAAACTCAACGAAAATGGCTACACAAAAGCTGCAACCAAGGAGACGAAGGATTCGAGCGAATGGTGGCTGGATCCGCCGTCGTGGTGGGGAAATACTGGTACCAACAAGGCCAAAGATAAAGAGAAGAAGCCTAAGACATTGCAAAACACCTTTAAGAAGAGCGCGATGGCCATCGTAAAAAAAGGAGAAAGCGATGAAGAAAGTGAAGCGTGGTGGAAGGATTCCAAGTACAAAGGCACCGATTACATGGATATTCTAGCGAGAGGGAAGAGCGTCCACGACGATGCTCGGACTCCGCGTAGTCCACTAGTTACGAATCACACCTGGGCGGCTTCGATGACCCCCAGAAAGTAATACATCCACGTCTACTCTAGCTGCTCTGTGTGTTGAGCCTTGTAGGACAGAAACTCAATCGCCAGCGACTCGAAGTGCGAGAATGGACACAGAGGGTCATGCTTGTGGCCTGCAAAAGTCACCACCTCGTTCTCGTACAGCGGCTTGATGAAGAACTCGCGTGTAGCCATGTCCTCGTACACTTCCAACGCCAACATGGAGCCATATTCAGGCAATTGTGAACCCACATCGATCTGTAGAGCTCCCAGCAGTGCCACAATGGAGTTATCATGCGCTGAGAAGAAGGAAATCTTCGCTGGCTGCTTGTTCTCCACCACCGACTTGACAAACTCATAGACTTCCTTCACGCCGTCTTTAAACGCGCAATAGGTGAAGTCCTTACGTTGGTACAGACGCTGCCAGAGCCACGTGTCGTAGGCCTCGACTTGCTCAAAGATCTTGCGGTCGACACCATCAGGGAACGGCCAGCCATGGGCTTCCCGACACGTCAACGCGTCCCGAATTGCCGTCCAAGACAGCGGCTGGTCGTCCGGCACTCCCAGACACTCTCGCAGATGCAGAGCGAGCTTTTCCATGGCCTCACGTTCGGTTTTACCCCTCAATCCGATCACATCGTCGTGCACAAGGAGTTCGATCTCGTTAAACACCTGCAGTGGGTGCATGGGCGCCAGTACATTGTGCTTGTAGGTGTGCACGTAGAACTGCGGGGCCTTCCTCTGATCTCCGAAGAAGCCTCGTAGTAAGCTCTGTACCGATTCGATGGTGCGTGGCACACTGCTGGACAGCACGTAGACGTCCTCGACCTCTACGTCGTCGCCCACCAGATGTCCGTAGCGCTCTCGCAGCGTCCGTCCTTTGGCAGTCATGTGCTTGACGCCCTTCTGGGTCAAGAGGCCGTAGGGGTAATGAGATTCCTTCGAGGGTCTGATGACAGGAGGCTGCGTCTCATCGGCGCCCACGGGCTTGGCAGTCTGTTGCAGCAACTCGAGCTGCTCCGGTGTAGCCACTTTGGAGGCCCAGAAGTCCTTCTCATCCTGTGTCGGCTCTACTTTGGTGCCGATGGACGTGAGCACAGGCGTGCGGTCTCCGTGGCGGTGGAAGATGAGTACATGACGCAGGCTCACGTCGCGACTAGTCGAAGGGGATGTAGCCATTATCAGATGGAGGTTTTCGGTGGACGCGTTGAGGCTTTGCTGGAAGATTGCGAAGTGAACATTAGAGAGGGGACAAAACTGAGTTTGGTGTGGTACACACATTGTTCGTTTGTCCTAGCACGCGAATTCAGTAGGACAAACACTCTTCGGCATCCTTCAAAGGAAACACGAACGAGGAGCGCTTCCGCACACGTTCACAGGCACTACGTTTCGAGGTGAATTGTCCTTACAGCCTATAAGAGCGTCTGAGTGCAGCGGTGCTACCAGCAGAAGCTTGTGGGCCTTACTAACTATTCCGCATTGCGTGTTTGATAAGCATAGTTTGCAAGATCTCGTCGAAAACAGCAGTGTGGTTCGATATGGAGATGCCTATACCGCATTTGGCTCTGGATGAAGGCCCATACGATGATCTACTGTCAGACAGCGACAGTGGAGAAGAGGATCAGGTTGATGAGACCACAGAGGAAGCCGCGAGATGGAAGTTCATCAAGCCACCAGACGTCCAGCTCAACGTGGATAACACCGACGCTTTTCTCTTATCCAAAGCAAGACTGGAGACGGCTCGTGTTATGCAGCGCGTACTGAGTCGTGTATTTGGAGCCCAAGGCGGGCATTCATCTCAAGTGGCAACCGTTGATGTTTTGAAGTTATGGTTGGATCAAAACGTACTCAATATCGTTCAGCAGCATATCAATGCCAATCTGGACGCGAAGGATTTCATTTCGGTGCCAGAGCTGTTTGGATTTATCGAGGTTGAACTATGGTTGAGTTTTTATGGCATTTCTCCCACTACTTTCTACAGCAAAGACTACAGAGACCTGTATCCCCCAGCGAAGCAAGCAATGAGATCAAGACGCTACCGCTCAATATTAAACGCTTTAGGAACGAAAAGTGGGCAGATCGCCACGTCAGAGGAGTTTTGGAATGCTCCTTTTGAAGCTGATCGAAGTTTATCCCACGCTATGGATGCATTGAGGAGGGTGTGCTCGGAAATTGGCTTCGTAAGCGAGGTGTCAATTGCGAGCTTAGATGATGACTTGTTGCGACTTCGATCACGATCGGTAGAAGATATTGGATTAACACGTGTTCGTAACCCGAAGAAAGGGTACGAGATGGAATATTGGATGTATGATGCTATGGTACTAATTCGATTTCTTTTGCTGGTAAGATTTGGACCCGTTCATCATGGTGTTGTCTCCCTCGTTACTGGGCTGTACTTGTCCGGCCACATTGCTTCACGAGGGGAGACACTTGGAGAAGTATTGAAACTGATGATGAGATCACTCTGTGGAGTATCAACCGACAGCCAAATCGATCTTTCAGGTGTGCTCTTTGCGCTTGACAGAGGGTATCAGTCAAAGGCTATAAACCAGCACATTATTGAATGTGGGGGAAGCGTGATTGGAACGCACAAACGTGTTCAAGCATTCCCGTTTACCTATGGAAAGCCAGCTCAGAAATCTCAAAAGCTTATCAATGAGGTCGGGTCAATGTCGACAAACTGGGCTTCGTATAAATGTGCCGGTCGTGCTGGATCTGACACTTCTTCGAACCACATGCACGCGCTAGCTTTCAGATCTGGGCTAGGAAAAATAGTTCTCTGCAGCACGTCTGACAAGGAAGCTGGACCTGGAAAGTGGAGCTATGTTCCAAGAAACCGAAACGACAAAGCCAATAACGATAGCGACGCTTTTACTGCTTTTGAGACTCGGGTGAAGCTACTGACAGAGCTCCAACGCACTCCGGATTGGTTTTTAATGCGTCAGTTTCGCATTACGGGCCTAGTGGCTATTAAACTTCTTCGTTCGATTGCTCAACAGCCTTGCCAACCCCGTGATGAAGGTGACGGGCAAGTGGACATATACCACGTTCTTGCAGGCATGAGCACGGTTCAACTCGTGCTTCAAATATTGGACTTTCCTGTGGCAGCTGAAGAAGAGCAACGTGATAACGATGGCCCTGTGCGACGCCCCCTTACTAGTGATGATCTTTTGAACAAAAAGGGCAATGAGTTGAAGCAAATGTGTCACGACCGTGGTCTTCCTGCCTATGGTACTATCGCTGTGCTGAAAGAACGTCTTATGGGCCAAAATACCGCCTCATCAAGAGCCAAAACACCAGAACAACCTAAATCTGTAGCTGCTACCCTCCTTCAGACATGGTTTTTGTCCCCAAAGTCCAGCACTGACATGAAAATTGGAACCAAAAACGAAGACAATATCTCGACCCATGTTGCTGCATTTTTTGCGGCACATTCTGCGTTGCGCGTCAGGCAAACCAAATCGTACGGATTGCTTGCGAAGTAAGTAGAGAAATATGAGCAACAAGGTTGGTGGCACGTTCTCATTTATCGTGTTATGAGCAGGTCTGATCAAAGCTATCTAGCTTTTTCTCCTGATGATGTTGCTGATGTCGTTGATAATACCGAATCGTTTTATGCCATACTGGAATATAAGACACGAACTAAGTCGTCAACCGCTGCAACTGAAAAAGAGATTTCTGCCAAGCATGGCATGTTTACAAGTATTCGTCTTGACACTGGGAGTAATGGTAAACAATTCCGAAGGTTGGTTCCGGACCAAGCCCACCGCTCTCAAATACTGCACAACATCATCATTGCATCATTGAGAAATGGTTTCTTGGTTTACGCCTCAAAAACGACAATTTTGCGAGTGGTTCACGTCATTGTCAGTGA